TTTTTAAGCGTAATTATGGACATCAGATGCTGAATCAACCAAAAGTTAAATTGTACAAAGTTGTTCAGAGGAGGAGTTGCGTGCACAGTCAACTGATGTATTTTAATATATTATTTAATGTACAATTTTGCTAACATTTGTCTGTTGCTCTTTGCAGATGCAGTTCATGTAATTTTGAAGAAATGTGTCTCTCGGAAGATGAAGCAATTAGCAGCAAAGCTTTGTCCTCGTTGCAGTCTAACTCTTCAAAGAAAAATTCACACACACCCAAATACAGACATGTCAAGAACATAATGGTGCAACGACTTGTCAGAAACCATGGTAACCATGTCCAAATGACGTTTGGCGATAGCTCACACCCATTAATCTTTAACATGTCCGAGACGTCGAGTGATGCTGCTGTCTAACCCCCCTTAAGAGGATTCTTTATCAATTTTACAGTGTAATCTGTAAAGATAGTGAATGGGTGCTGAGAAACTTTGATGTTATGTATTTGGAAACACTGTGGTTGGATGTAAAGGCTCGATGTTCAGCGGGGGAGGCGGTGGAAGTGAAAGGAGAGCGCTCCTTCCCTTTCTTGATCCGATCATCAGTCATCCATTCCCTACAGTTATTTAACTGTCACTAAGTAGTGATGCTAATGACGTTTACACCTGTTCAGTTCTTGTCTTTTTTACCGTGTTTACAGTAGACATTCCTTGTGTGTTGTTTGTATTTATTTATGATTATTGGTTTAAGATTGGGGAAAATAATGATGATAATGTAAAATCTAGAGTACATTGAACACCTGTGGGAGTGCTTCAGCATTAAACAAGGATCTCTGACCATCATGGAGAGGTAGAGTTAAAAAATAACTATTATATAAATTACACCTATTAAGCAGAATCATAGAGCACTAAATATTCTGAGTTTTGTGTTTAAGTTTTTTTTTTTTTATTTACTAGATGAAAGATTTCACAATTTCCATTGTACTTAAAGTGCAGGGGTTAGAGTATGAGTCAGTAAATGTGATATAGTCGGTTCTGTGCCTAGGGTTTTTTGCAATGGATCAGTTTCCTGAAACACTTCATCCATGAATCTGAAGCGTCGCACTGGGTGGTGGGCTCCATTTGCTTTAAGCTTGGCATGCCGTTGACTCACTGACCGTATTCAAGGCTGCCTTTACTCTGAATGTGAACGAGTTGTCTTCATGTTGCACACATCTTTCCACACTACAGTTCCTCAGCAGGAGATGGGGAGAGGGCAGGGTACGATGGACAGAGTGTGTCTGCTTGCTGGATAGCTAGTCGCCACGCTAACGGGGAAAAGGGAGTCACGGATTTGATGTAAATTAATTGTATAAAAAAAGATCCCGAGGTGCAGTTGTGGAGTGGAGGAGCGCTGTTGATCGGCGCTCTATGTATATAAAAAAAAAACCTGACTGTTCTTTGAGTGCTAAAGTGAAAGATGTATGAAATATGAAAGCAATTCAATCAAATTTGACTCTACCTAAGTTTGATTCAGGATATTCTCTGCGTTTGTCTCCGCAGATATTTTCTTTATGTAATTAGAACGTGTAGCAGACAATGACTGAAGTCTTTTCTTTCTTTTACAAATAAAGAGCAGCTTCCACAAACTTGTATTTTTTGTTCTTCATCGAGGTGAAAGTCACGACGTGTAGTTAAATTGTGAGTTAAAAGGTATTGAAGCTCATGAAGGTTTTGCTGATACTTGATAAAGCTCATGTCAACACAAGTTATTTCGCCATTGTATCAAGTGCAGGTGTGTCTCAGCTCTCGCTAATGGATCTTGAACAGTGAACCTCGTCAAATAGAACATGGTTCAATAGAGTTTTTGATTATATACAAATTAAACCAGTTATTTGAATATTCAAACAATACATGGAATAATCTAGGCTGCGAAATGTCAAGATGGATCACGTCTACAGATCTTATGTCATTTGATATAAAACTTTATGTGTTGCTGTGTTATATCACATACTGACACATGGAAAACATCCTTGGGTCTCTTGAAAGGCGCTTTATGAATTATAGTTACAATTTAATCCAAACAACCTTCCTCGGTTGGTTCCTTTAACGGCCACAAAATACTTACATTAAAATTAAAAAACTAATCACAGATTGGATTTTTTTTTTTACATTTATAACAAATTAAAGCTGGATACTTTAAAAAATACATAAAAAGGAACAAAAATTAAACAAGCACACTAAACAGTGGCTCAGATTCATACATACAGAGTCGGAATGATAATCTGGGAAACCCAGATAAAGAGGGAAGAAAAAAGAACAAATAAGTAAATAATTCAAGAATACCCCTGCAACATGATGGCAGAGACCTGAGGACCTTCATAGTTATAGTTAATAGGGTTCCCAGATTGTGTAGAATTGCTCTGTTTTCATATTCACTGTATATGTAAGGTACTCTCATGGCACCAAGTCTAGAAGCACTCTCCACCAGCCCTCAAAGGTTCTTGGTTCATGAATCCATCGTAGTAAAATGTTCTTCCCTGCAGAAAAGGCAAGATGCAATATAATCTCTAATTGCTTTTGTTAATAAACTGCTTGGGAGTCACAGACTGATACTTAAAACCATGCCTGCAATTTTGGAGACCAAGGTTATGTTCGTTGGGGGGGCATTAACCTTTTTTTGCCCCAGGGTCTATTTTCTCATGATCAGCCCCTGGTGGTTGTAAACAGTAACCTGAGGTTCACACCCTTTGTTCAAACACTCGTCTGAACATGTGCAAACTAAGGACACCTGCTGGATGCTTTCTGTTATTACATCACAGACAATGGACATGTACAATGTACATTTTGGCGACGTGTGTTTGATGCACATGTTGGTTCCTCCCTGAGGCCCGCCCTCCTCTTCCTCCTCCTCCTCCTCCCCTTCCTCCTCTCCTGTCTGGAGTCTCCAGCAGCAGCAGCAGCAGCAGCAGCGGATCTGTAGAGGAGGTAAAAACAAACCCTTTATTTAATCTTTATTTATCACTGCAATAAGAAAAATGTCAACGAAACCTGAAGACAAAGTTTTCTCTGGGGCTGCAGATGAATTATTGTCAGGAGTAGAAACCAGTGAGTTTTTATTTCAGAGTTTTCTAACAAAGTTAAAATATTTGTTAATATGAAATGTGTTCTACCATATATCACTCACTCACCTGCATTTTTGACAATCTGTTGGATTTTCTAACTTCTTATCATTTAAGTTGGAAGCATGAACCAGTTCAGTGTGATTCCTCTAAAGCCAAATTCAAATGAATCTGTTTTAATTGTTTGCTGAACAGAGAAAAACAACTCGGAGTCTAGGGAACATTTTCAGTCCTCACTTTTATTCACTTCAGAATCTGCAGCTGCACAGGGACCTCACACGTGTTCATTGTATTGTTAAAAGCAAAGTGCTGTAGGTTGAATAATAACAATATTGATGTTGATAATAATGAATGCTCAGTCAGACAGTTTGTCCGTGCAGCCCTCTGTCAGGCAGAGTTCTTTTACTCTCACATCTGTTGTCAGTATAACCAGTTTCCTGAATAAACATGCAAATGGAGCAAACAAGACACATTTTCATATTTATAATTGACAACTGGATCCTGGACACAGGACACAAACAAGGAACTGTTAATTTCTAATATGTGAAATGTCGAATAATATTTTTATAAGATTTAGTCATTTCAGTGAAATCATGTGACACCTTTTTATGTTTTTTTTTCCATATCTGCACTGTTACCAGTAATGATATTATATTTATTACTGCGGAGGTTATATTTCACTGGCATTTGTTTGTTGGTTTGTTCATTAGCAGACTTACGCAAAAGCTTCTGGACCGATTACGTAACTTGATGGGAGGATGTGTTGTGGGTCAGAGAAGGACTCATTCAATTCTGGTGTGGGTCCAGGATTGTGTCTTTCATTCTCTTTAACATTGTGAGATATAGGCAGGGTGCGATTTAGACCAGATCCAAGTAAAAAAGCTGGATCTAGTGAATTTAAACATGGTTTCCTAAGTGGACTGTTGGACCTTGAACTCTGCTGATTGTCATGTTGGGTTTTAAAACTAATCAGATACATCTTCCTCTGAAATATTATGCAGTAGAAGTACAAGTCAACTCAGAATGGATGTATTCAATTTGTAGCTTAAAGGTTTTGTTTAGGTCAATTTAGTGAGTGAATCCACTCTCACACAGACACAGATATGACTGTATAATCCACTTATCACTTCACAACCATTAATGGAAAGATTGGAGCTGCTTTTAAGAGTTTCTGGTGTAAATGGAGCTGATGGCTGCTGCTGCTGCGTTCATTGTCCATAATCAGAAGCATGTTGTAAAGAGGCAGTTGTTCAGTGGCTGTGTTAGATTTGCATGTTGTGTTTGTTGGTCACATATTTTAGGAAACCACCCACTAATCAACAGTTAGTCCAGTCCAGTTAACTTCTCTCTGTCCTTGTATAGAGAGAAGAGATGTAAAAATTGGGAACTTGTGAGCAAAATGTGTAGTTTTTAAAGATAAAATATGATAATGATATTTTAACATGGTATGACAAACATATGTCCCACTGGAGACACCATCTTTCAAGTAAATGTATTTGTGTAGCACCTTTCAATACAGCCGTTACATAGTGCTTCACAAAGAAAGGTCAAAGACAACAAACAAAAACATACACTCCATAAATCTCATTTAAAATCAAAGACACCAAATGGTCAAATACAAAATCATCCTTTTGTATAACATCATTTAAAAGTAATTGCAAAAGAAAACGATAAAATAAAACATACGTTAAGAGGAACCATTGAGGGACTGGTCTCCAGTCCATACCTGACAGAGGAATACGTGTATCTAAACCACACCTGTGTTATACACAATGCACATTTATCTATTTTGTTTGTTTCTTGTTGTTTAGTGAATTTGTCGCCTGATGTTTTCGTTTGACAGTAGTCACAGAAACATCCGGTGGATGTTTCCTGCTGCTGAGTGTTTCCACAGCCGGCCGGTGAGCGAAGCAGGAGGCGGGGCCATGATCGACCTGAGCCACCTAACGGAGGAGGAGCAGGGGAAGATAATGACGGTGCTGAGGCGGGACACAGAGCTGAAGAAGGCCGAGGAGGAAAGAATCAGGTGGAGAAATATGTGTCTCCCTCTGTTCACAATCACATTCTGAAAACCCTCATCAATCGGTACTTTGCATGAGCTGAAATGTTATGTGCCAACTTTTAAGCTAATGTTATGTTATTCAGTTAATGTCATTTTAGTGATTCAATAAGAGCTCTGAGGTCTTTCCATTGCTCGTCTTGTGAGAGGAGGCCTTTGTTGGAGCGTAAACATGCAGCTGAAAATTACGCTTGTTCGGCCCTAATGGAATAATGGAATAACAGCTTTGCAGGACACACAGTTTGTGTCCAATGGCTGGGAAGCCTCAGTGGGAGATGTGCAATTAGATTTAAGCCAAGTTGAAGTCCACACACTGAGAGGAGGATCATGCTGCTGTGACAGGAATAGAAAGGCTGAGAGGCGTGATGGTGTGACACCTCACCTGAGAGGAGAGAAAGGCACACAGAGAGGACATACGGCCTCTGATGAAACCACACTTACCTTCACTACATCCAGATTTTTATCTTTTGAATCTAAATTGCAAACACTCATAAATACCAGGCCTGTTTTTTTCATTGAGATAACATGAATTATTCTCTGAGAAATCAAGGAAAAAGTGGGAAAACTCGATGTTAAAGATCTGGATGTGCACCAATATATAATGGGTTCTGACCTATACCCAGATAGCAAACGGACATGGGCCACTTCAGGTGATAATCTGGGACAAATGGCCTTTTTTGGCCTGGACAAAATGAATGTAAGCGTAAAGTTGCCCACTTGTGAAATAGCAAATCTTAGCCCAAATAGCATGAAACTAATTCGGGCCACCTTTGGCACCTCTGGCTGATTATTGCTATGGCTTACTTGTGGTCCAGATCTGGCAAAGATGTGTGGACCACCAAAGTGCCAATATACCACATGGTATGTGTGCTGGCTGCGGGGTGTCGGCCACGCGCAGCATCCATCCACCAAGTTTTGTGGAAATCCATCCTGTAGTTTTTACACAATCCTGCTAACTGACAAAGTGAAAATACAACCTTGCTTTAAGTTTACGTTAAAAATCTTAATGTCAGAGACAATGTTGACAATGAAAAACACAGTATTGCAGATTACAGTTAAAATGAAGCTGCTCCTGAGCTTTTTGTTGAACTTCGGGAGGAGTCAGACATTCCTCACGCTGTATGTTCAGTGCACGCTAAGACAAACAACAGATCTTTTCTAGCTTCTCTCCCACAAGCTTCACGTCCTCATTACCCTTCACGAAGCATTTAAACGAACGAAAAAGCAAAACAAAACAAAATCCTCTCTGAAGATGTTCAATTTCAAGACTCATGTATGTCCTGAAACAATGTGCTTTTTATTGTGACTATAATAGAATTGGCAGACCAGATTTTTCATCAGCAGGAGGCTGAATGCTCGCTGTGTCCCGGGCGCTCTACTGTAAAAGGATTAAATCCAGCAGCCTGTAATAATGTGCTGCCCTTTTTTCACATGACCATTGTGAAGCAACGTCGAGAGGGAAGATGAGCCGCAGTGATCATCTCAAGGCACATGGTTTTTTTTCCCTCTTTGATTCAATTTCAACTTGATGGAAATGTTTTCCAAATTCCTTCCTTTAGATGGATCATGTGCAAGTGTTTCATGAGGCTGATAAAGTGGCGGAGCTGGAGACAAATATACTGCATAGTTTTTAAATGCAGTAATGAACATTGTACGTTTCTTCAACAAGCTTAAGAGAAAAACAGAGAATCAAGACAACAACAACAACAATAATCTAACAGTGTGTTGGCGTGTCCATCTGTTCCATTGATTCCTGAAGGATGTTCTTCAAATATTGTAAAAAAAAAAAAAAAAACTTTACTTGACTTATGGATGAACTGATACGATTTTTGTGGTCAAAGGTGAAAGTTGAAGGTCACAGTGGCCTCACAAATGATGTTTTTGGGCTCTTAAAGATGGTATCTCAAATCTGCCGTAAGGGAATCGTCCGCCTGTATGTCTCATTCTCTTGAACACGAAATCTAAAAGACCTCGAGGGAATTTCATTAAAATTTAGTACAAATATTCATTTGGACTCACTGATGAAGTAATTAGAATTAGGAGATCAAAGGTCAAGGTCACGGGGACCTGACTTGTCTTGTGAACACGAGAATTTCTTAAAACCCATTCCCAGTTGTGAATGTGTTATTCTGAGAACGCCTCAAGAGAATCCTTTCAAATTTGGCAGAAATGTTCAGTAGGACTCACAGATTAACTGACTATAAAAGGTCAAGGTCACACTGGCCTGATGATTCTTGGCCTCTTGAACATGATCTACCTTTTAGGGAATTCTTCCAATTTTAAGCAGTTGTCCGTTGGAGTCAAAAATGAACTGATCATATTTCAGAGCTCAAAGGTCAAAAGTCACTGTGGCCTCATATGAGTCTGGAAAAAAAGCTTATGTTGACTGAAGCACACAACCATGAAGCGTTAATTCTACTTTCAAACCTAAAGTATCTCCAGTTGAGGAGACACCACTCTGTCCTTGTGGTGTGAACTTCAAAACCTTGTGTGCTTGTCTCCTCTTTGTTCGACCCTGGATTTCTATTTCACCTGATATTTGGATATTTGTGCCACTCAGTCTGATTTAAAGCGGTGTCAGGTTCTCCATTCAGTGCAGTTTAAAGCGTTATCTTGTAGTTGTTCCCTGACAATAGAGCATGTCCTTGTGTCTGCAGGGACAGAGGAACAATGAACGTTTGTGTTCTTTTACAACTTTCCATAAATGACTCTATAAAAAAACCTTTTCATTTAAATATCTGTACATGTTTCCTTTGTGTTTTCCCAACAGGAAGCTGGAGAAAATACTGACCAGTGGGTCGCAGTCAGACGGGAAGATGAAGTACCTGACCGGAGAGTGGTTCTACGAGGCCAAGAGCCGCAGACATATGGACAAGATCCATGGCTCAGAGATCATCCTGGCCTCCATGAAACAGAAGAGAGGTGTGTTTATTTTCTGATCAAGGAAATAATCTAGATCCTCTGTGACCCCAGCGCTGGCGGCTCAGTAACAAACTTTGTTTTCTGCCTGTTCTCCTGCAGCAGGTAATATTTTCTTGATCCCACAGATGTTGGCTTTGTGCTCAGATGGATAAAATATTGCCTGGTGAGAAAAACTAAGCTTAAATCGGAAATTCTCTGAGATTAAACTGATACCCAGACAGTGGCCTTAGCGAATGTTACAGCAGAGAATAAAAAAATCTGAGAAAAACAACCCACTTGAATGCTGGTTTCATCCAGGGCAAAACATTTTACCCTTTAACAGCAGAATGTTTTCAACAGTGGGATCATAAAAACAACCCAGTACTGGACAACAGGTGAAAATAACATTTCATATTCCTGTGTTCTTTCTGTTGCAGACGGGTCTGTCAGATTGGAAAAATCCAAAACACCCAGCATTCGAGGTTCCGTCGTCGCTCCACCTAAACCCATCAGGCATTTGGAGGCGCTGCAGCCACAGGCCATAAAGTACACAATGCTCTTTGTCTCGTACATTCATAGATTCGCTGTCCTCATTTTCCTATTTGCATGTTCATGTTAAGCCACAGTGCAGGCTTTGTTTACACAAATGCCAGGTTGGAGACTTCATCAGGTGGTGAGTCACATTTTCTTCCATTGGACTGACACATTGGACTGACAAATATCTAACTACGGTTACCTGAACTCTTAAATGCAGGTTTTACGCTTTTGAATCTCTAAACAAACTTTTTCAGACATGAAACAGAGCATAGCAGGAGATTGTCCGGGTCAGATGTAAAAACAAAAATTCAACATGATGTGAAGATTCTGCTGCAAAAAAAACACATTGACACTGACATCGACCTGTGACGTCAAAAGCTCTTGAATCTCATCATCTTTCCAAGTTTACCAGAGCGTTCGTTCGTTCTCATATACAACCCTTCTGGAACATTTTCAGGAAAATGTCCAGACTTCAGAAAGCAGCGTTATTGAACACTTGAATCACAGGTTGTTCTTTGATCGAGCAATAATCCCACAGTCGCAAGCAAGACTTTATCCATTTCCTGTCTGTCGACCTTAAAACTTCCACTACAAAGCACCAAACTCACACCACGTTGAATAATTCAGTTTAAGATACAGGAGCGGCTCCCTCGCTCTCTTCCTCTGTCTTCCACTGTGTGTTTGTGTGCAGTGTCTTGTGACTCAGCCTGTGTAAACATAGGTGGTGCTCTCTGGGAATATGTCTGTTTTATAGCCCAGCAGCTGCATCTACAGTTGTGTGTGCAGGATACACACTGACATATGAAGGGAAAACAGTTTCATTCAACAGAGCTCTCACTTTAATTACTCTGAATGAGAAGTGACTACTGATGTCAGTGTTAAGGTTATTTCTGGAACAAAACTATCAGGATGTTATTATATTTTTGATTGAATTGAATATTTTTCTAATATATATATATATATATATATAATGTTATATTGAGGCCATCTGTCACATTGTTGTGAGGGAATGTGGAATAAGGAAAAAGGCAATGTGTTCAAATTAGGTACAATAGTAGGATGAACTGATTAGAATTTGGTGGTTAGAGGTCAAGGTCAAGGTTCAAGGTCATTGTGACCTGATATGAGTCAACACATGTTTGTAGACTGAAACTGTACTGGTTAGAGGAGGCATACAATTGTAGTTTATCTGTAATTCTACTTCAAGAGTAACTTCGTTTCCCCAGAGGAGGGTGTTCTCTCTACTGAAACTAGAACATGGCAAACAACAAAAAATGTATGTATATGTGTTAAGTAACTTGGTGCCATAGCTGAAACACAGTTAATACCATTCTTCAACAGTATGGTCAATATTTGGTTTGGCCGAGCTTCTGTACTTTGTGTGGCGGGCTGTAAATCCTAAACACACAAAAGACCCAAGAATGTCGTTGCATTAACTGTGTTTACAGTCTGATAACGCAATATTTTACCATGACATTCCTCAGTTTTATTAATGCAACATATATTTTTTTAAATGTAACCACATCTTTTTAATCATGTTGTTCAGCCACTAAACACAAGGTATTGTGACTTTAGTTTTCTCTCTTACCCTTTGAGTTGATTGGATTGATGCAGTTATTTACAGACGAGCAGGCTTCAGTCATGCACACGCGTGTACATCAGAGCAGCAGACACATACCATTAGAATGATCTTTATCTGTGTGACCTCATCTGATGATCACTAGAGTCTGTTTTTCTTTTAAATGTACTTTTCATTTTTTTCCTCCAGTGATGCTGAAAAGGAGAATCTAAATTCGGCCGTCCACTCCCCAAGAACGGTAGGTGTTTGTGTTGCAAAGCAGATTTTCTCAGTTCATTTTTCCTTTCTATGATACAGTCAGTTATTTCAGCCATTGTAATGTAAAACAATAATTGTATAAATTTTCCTTCCAGCCAAGGCACAACCCTTTCAACTGTACGTCTCTTATCGTTATTCAGCCACCTGAAAATAATAATGACATGTCGAGCAGTCGGGACCAGGACTTATCTGAGACAGGTTTGAATTGAATTTTATAATGAAGATGAACACATTTGTGAGGCTGCGGTATTTGTAATATATTAAAAATGAATCTATTATGCCACAATGCCTCTGTTATCGTTCTACTGTGTTTCCCTCAGAGCTCTTATCTACTCGGAAGAGTCGCCCTGGGGACGAGGCCAGTCCGACTTCAGGGGGCTCCATCATATCAGAGAGCTCCTCTGCAGGTTTCAAACCGGTGCCAAAGAAGAGGACGTTTCTCTCGAGACGTTCCTGCGGCCAGTCAGAGAGCAATGGCCCTGGCATAGATGCTCAGGGAGGGACTTCTGGGATAGTTCCTGCTCCAAGACTAAGCCTCCAACGTGGCTCCAGTGGGAGCTCGAACCAGTCGTATCTGAAGAGCCAAGAGGAAATGCCTCAGATAAGTGCAGTTCCAGTGTTTAACCAGGTGTCTCAGCCATCCAGCTCTGCAGATGAATCTTCCCAGCAGCCACTGAGTCAGGTTTCCTCGAATTCCAGCCTAGAGAGAGAGAAACGCCCACCCTCAATAACCAGAGACAGGTCCGTGGATAAATTCTTCACCTTTTACAACTTTTACCCAAATCTTGAATCAAAACTCATTAAAAGTGCCTGTGTGATTTCAGACTGGCCACATTCATCAGAGGTGATGTTGTTCCTGAGAGAGAAACCCGACAGAGGAGCGATGACGGAGACCATCTGACCCGTAGAGAACTTGGAAATACTGTCGTCCTGCACACCAGCCGCACTCAGGGCTCGGACAGAGAAATCAACAGCAGCGAGGGAACGAGGCTGGAGGAGCTGAGTTTGACCCGAAGTGTTTTGGGTAAGTTTAGTAAAAGACACAATTTTATTTACTTTTGTAAGGAAGAAAGAAAAAAAATGATATAGAAATGAAAAAAAGATGTATATTTTGTACAGTGCATTTTTGTTTCATTATGCCTTTAATTATCTGGAGTAGAGTCACCCTAAGAAAAATCACTCCAAGATGTTTGTTGGGATGCAAGTGAAATACCTATTTTTGTGTGTATTGTCATATTTTGCACAGATACCTTAGTGGGATTGACAGTGTTTTGTTCTCCAAAAGTGCTAAAATATTATAAAACACAAAATTGAGTTTGTAAATCCTGTGTATTGGAACAGAGAAGATGGCTGATGGAAACAAGAGCAACCATGACACTGTGGCACCAGCTTCAAAATCTTTTACCAAAGAGTAGTAATGTATTGAGGTGCTCATAAGGTAATTAGCTCAAATTCTATAGGAGCAATTATACATATTTTTATTAGGTTAGTGCTGCATTCACTGCATCAAGTAGATCCAGAGCTGCAAGGGAAATGTTCATTGGGTGTATACAGCCAAGATTAAGTTTGTGTGCCAGTTTGTCATTGAGCAGCTACTTGTGTTTTTTTGATAAAATGAGTCATCAAACTGATTGTGTACGACTGACGGTAATAGCTTTCTGATTATAATCAGACACTCAATTTTCTTTCCACACCTTTCTTTCAGATCCAGAGCCTCCTATATCTTATGATCTTAACTTTATCGATAAATCTGATCAGCAAACACAAAAGAAATCCGATCAGACACACACGTTCAGGTTATCCACTCAGGCAACCAGTCCCACCAGCGATGAGGACTCCATTGCAAAGGTGCTGGAATGGTTCAGCCGCAGCGTCGACAGCAGCGATTTGCTGAGTACAGACGAGGGCACAGAGGCCACAAAGAGCTCAGACAAACATATTAAAAAAAACAAATTAAGAAGTGAAGATACAAAAGAGAAAAAGAAGGAGGATTTTGAAACGAAGAGAGGTCACCTACAAAGGCAGATTAATGAAGTGTTTAGAGCCCCAGACCGAGCAGGCAAGAAGGAGTTGAGTGAAACACAAGAGGAGGTAGAGAGGGACACCAGGGAAAGAATGCGGTCACAGGAAGTGAAACATAATGACGATGAAAGCCAACCACTAAAAATCTCTCATCTGAAGTCATTCTGGGAGAAAAGCAACATGGGCCCAAAAATACTTATCAGGAATTCAATCACGCCCAGCGACAAAGGACAAGAACTTATTTATCTCTCAGAGGAGAAAGAGGAGGAGAACGTGAACAAACCCCACATGGTGTCCGACACGCCATCTGCTCCTGGGATATACAACGGGAGGGGGATTTATGCCTCGAAGCGTGGGGACGAGAGAGAACAGAAAGATGTCACAGACAATGTTCTCTTGAATAATAAACAGCAGGACCATACTTTATCTCAAAAGAATAATAATGACCCAACATGTAACTCAGATTATTTTAAGTTACTATCCAGCCCCCAAGCAGCTGACAGAGGAGGCTCAGACACTGAGATTTTAACTCGACTGAGTCTGCAGCCTAGGCTAGAGTCTGAGAGCATCTCTTCATTCAAACTAAATTCACAGCCCGACAGTTTTTTCCAATCAAGAGAGACCCCTCTGCAGGAAGAGCTGTTGAAACCAGACTACAAGCAAGGTGGCAATGATGTGCACGTCACCTCGAAAGCACAACTTCACAGAGGCTCGAGTGAAGAAGTGAAAAGAAGGGAAAGTGACAATAAGAGCATGCAATCGAGCATGTCTCCTAAAAGAATAGAAGATGTGTCCAATAAAGACAAAGCTAGCATTCCTCATTCACACAGACAAGGTTCAGCACATCAGGAAAGTACAGCAGAGAGGATCAAGCAGCTCAAATCTTTCTGGGAGCAGGAGAGGAACAAGCCCATTTTCTACACCGGCACGTCTAAATCTCTTGGGGAAGGTAAACTCACTCGTGGTGCAAATCAACTAAATAAAAGATTTACAAAGTCGGAGTATGATCTGAGGTTAGTTGGAAGTAATTCAGGCAGCGAGGACGAAGATTCCAATAGAGATCAGAATCAACGGATAGAAAAGTTGTCCCCAAGCCTCAGCGCGAGTCGAACACAGTTCCACAATCTGCGCGATTTCTGGGATGATTCCAAGTCAGACACGAAAGGATCAGTTTTGTTCGACAAACCCAAAAGCCCCAAAAGGAAAGAGCCAGTAGGTGCCCAGTTTCCACCTCAGGAGTTTAAGAGCGGTGATGCTGAGATTTACCGTTTGTCTTCAGCTATCGAGAAAACAAGGCCGGCTGCCATGAGGTCATCTCCGCAGAGCCGATCCAAGTCACCACATGATAGACAGATGGGGTCAGGGGCAAGAGCTTTGATCGACAGCAAAAACAACCTGTCCAATAATGCGACAATTGAGTCCAAAAGAGGCGCCAAAGACTCTGGTCGAGAGGAAAAATCCACAAAACCACAAAGCAGCTCAGGAAAAGAGCCTCGGTCTCCGAAGAGGAAAGACACTTTTGGCAAATCCAGCAGTCGAGGAAATCCTTTGCGTCGAACTACAAGCATGTTCACGCTGAGTGTTCCTGATGAAAAAGATCACGTCCAGATGAAAATGGATGTAAGCCCTGTCCACTCCCACAGCAGGAAGCAAAGGCAGAACGCTGAAAAAGGGGCCATGCCGAGGAGATTTTCAGAGGGAATCGACACTATGACTCCACGTGCACGGGCGTTTGTTCCCAGAGATTACCGGCATTACCTGGGCATGACGGACAAGACCAGCGTCCACACCTCACTCGCCCCGGCCGTGAAGAGCGAGGGCTCAGAGGGAAAATCCGGGTATGACTTTGACCTGAGCAGTCCAGTGAGAGCAAGCACCCCAGTGAGTTCAGAGGAGCGTTACGGCAGGAAGGGCAGCCAGACAAGTCAGCGCCCCCTGTGGGCAAACTACAGCAGCTCAGATACTGGCCCAGAGTCGTCTATGAGCAGCACGTCAGACACCTGGTCAACCTCGAGGAACAGTTCAAACCGTGAGCACCAACTTCTGTTTTTACAGTGTAAAATGAATAATAATAATTTTTGCAACTTCCGAGTCAACATGTAAGTCAACATGCTACATTAACCAGCTTTTATCTGAATATCATCAGTTCAGTCACAAAGTAGGGAAGTACCTCTGCTCAGTGTGTTTATCATAAAGTTGACCTTAAATACAAGACATTAAAAAATGTTTTTGTAAGAGAAACCTTCAGATGAACTTTGTTTTTTTAAGTCAATTGAATGAAGACCGATAATGAATTCGATTACAAGTTACCCTAAAATTAAATAAAAGCAAATCAGAAGTAAATGTCAAAGAACATTAAGGGATTTTTTTTATTAACATAATCCTCTCAATGCATAGTTATGGAAATATTTGTATCATATTGGATTGTATCTAGCTGTATCCTTCATATCACGTCCGTGTTCATTTATCTCTGTTGGCAGCAGTAGATTTCTGTAAACAGTGTGTGTGCCTGCAGTCAACTGCCTGTGTTTGGTTTGTGGGCTGGGCACTGACTTTTCTACACCGCATAGAAAAAAGAAACATTTCACCAAACTACAAGTTCAGCAGTTTCTCAGCAGCTTAATTTTAAAGTAGTTCAGGTATATTACTGAGTATTTATTTTACGCAGTTGTGGGTGGTGCATTTTTCTACAGGGGAGCCAACATCACAATACAAAATGTACCTGTGAGATATCTGGCTGATCAGGTCCAAACATTGAACTGACGTCTTCATGACTCACTGCAGCATGATTATATATCTATATATGATTTATCTATCCAGCTCCAGAAGTATCGTCTTATGTACTTACTGTATCACTTTTTAGTTCAGGTTATGTCCCATTCACCAACATAGAGGAGGCGGGGTTAATTACCTATACTCCAGCCAGCTACCAGGGGGCATTGGAGATTCTTTGGCTTCACTTTTGGGGAGTCATGTCATCCATCTTTATATACAGGCTATCATCACGGCCCATGATCACAACCCTGCTGCATGCTCTGCTACCATATGTTTCAATTCATCGGATGCATCCCTCTGCTGCCACCTGTTGGGTGGTGGTGGGTAATGAACAGCCTCCTACTGCTTGTATTAAATTTGAGCAGATGTAAATTTACAAATTATAATGAGAGTCTGAGAGCAAAGATTCTTTTGATCCAGGTCAGAGGGGGGTCTAGTGCCCCCAATGTTCCATGGACCAGCCGCTACTCATTTCATGTTGGAAAACGTAGATACATCAGTAAAAAACATAATCTTGCCCTCAAACACTGTCTATCATTGGTTTTTACATTTGCTAATTTTAGCAAAAACCCAGTGAATCCAACCTGTTTCTTCCTGCAGGTGAAAATGGCAATGAAACCCAAAACCCTGTAAGAAAAGCATTGAGGCGAGCAGAGGCACGGCCTAAGAATCTGGCTAAAAGTATAGAGGACATGACGTCATGTATATCTCCACGTAAGCTTGTCTTCCAAATCAATAATTTCCCAAATTGATGATTCCCGAGTGACATAGATTTCTGTGTTTCTCACAGGGCAAGATTCAACTGCTGACCTCAGACACATCAGTGATGGTGAAAATTACCCTAAATGATTTCATGAAGGATATATTTGCCTGTGGCAGTCTAGTCAAGATACTGTATCTTTCTCTCTCTTCAGTTTCAACCATCCCGTCACCATCCTCATCCTTAAATGCAGATCCAGACCACCTGAAGAAGATGAGCAAATCGGTTCCTTCGTTCTTACAGAAGGAGGTAAAACCACCTGTTCACCTTTCTGTCCTGGAAGTCAAAGTCCGCTCTGCCTCCCCATGCACGCAGCTTTCTGTGCCTGCTGTGTGTGTTGCAGGACACTGACAGGGATGCTGACTCCACCTGTGAAGACAGCAACCAACGAGGAAGACTAATGATGGGCAGTTCGATGACTAACCTCTCTGGCTCCTCCGGCATGACGTCTATGTCTTCTGTATGTTTACGCGAGGCAGCATGCTTCACTAACCCATCAGCAAGCTTCACATTAAGGCACCCCTCTCTGAACCTGCTCTGCTTGTTGTCTTTTCATCGTACACTGTGACTGACATCAACCTGCTACTAATTTTCCATTTCAGATAACAGAACACATGCGTTTTTATGTTATTGTATAGGCACTAGTTCTAATCAGAACAGTCCAGGAGGAAACCAAGATGTACATTTGTAAAAGCAGCCAGTTTGTTCTTCTCTCTCTTAAAACCAGAAAAATACTGTTTGAAAACACCTCAGTTAAAACCATAGACTGTAAATAAAGATGGACAACGTCTCCACTTCCTCCCATTGTACAAAAATGTACCATCTTGTGATGGTTACGACATTTGGAACTAGAGTTTGCACAGTAGCAATCAAGGAGTGGAGCCACTGAATTAAGGTCCCGCCCATACAGGTGCTCGACCAGTCTCAGTTGTCAGTCATTACGTTTCAACTCGTCTTTACAGCATCATCATAACTATTTAAAAACAATCTAAGCAGAAACATAAACACTTGGAAAAACTTTGGTGTGAAGAAAACTGCTTACTTGTCTAATTGATAGAACCCTCAGTTACTAAAATTATAAAAGCTGCAGACCAACAAAACACACTTGTTACATTTCATTAAAAATCCTCTCACACTGAGTTTAACTCTAAAATCAGGTTTTCACTGAAAATCAACCTCAGAATAAAAGTTTTCACCTTTCTCGTTGTTGTGTGTTGTGAAATTCAGTTCGCTGGTTGATGAAGAAGAAATTGAAAAAGTTAAATTAAAACTATTTCCAAGATCAAAATACAGACTCATGTCATTGAGCTGTAATGAGTTTAATGCTAAGCTAACTGTTAGCCTGCAGATCAATAACCTGCACAACACAAACACACTGAACACGAAACGTTACCGGAGTTTTCTGACGAGAGGAAACGAGCCAGGCACCGGGAACCAGCGCCTCCTGACGGGGTCAGCAGCCAGGAGCAGGCGGAGGTGGGACAGCTAGCGTTAGCTTAGCGTTATCAAGGCGTTAGCTCAGCGTTGTCAAGGGGTTAGCTTAGCGTTCTCCTGGCGTTAGCTTAGCGTTATCACGGCGTTAGCTTAGCGTTATCCAGGGGTTAGTTTAGCGTTATCCAGGGGTTAGCTTAGCGTTATCAAGGGGTTAGCTTAGCGTTATCCAGGCGTTAGCTTAGCGTTATCAAGGGGTTAGCTTAGCGTTATCCAGGCGTTAGCTTAGCGTTATCCAGGCGTTAGCTTAGCGTTCTCCCGTTGCTGTGCAGCTTAGCTCCACCGCTGCTGTGCCGGTGAACTCGTTTCTTCTTCGGTGGTGTTTGATTTAAATATGTGAAAGTTAAAGTTCAGCTCGTCACGTNAACCTCCAATTATACAAGTAAATACAAAAATAAAGCTTGACAGGAAAAACTGTTTCTTCCAAACAATATAACTAACAACTAACATTGCTGTTATATAGGGTCCCATCCACTAATTTTGGGGAAACAGATTTATGATCGACACTGCAGCCAGCCACCAGGGGGCAAGTATATGCTTTGGCTTCACTTTTTAGGGGTTGTCATGTCCTCCATCTTTATATACAGTCTATAGCTAAAACAAATCTTGTCTTGTGTTTTAGGTTGATGTTACAACAAATTTACAGCTAGCACATAGAAAACACACATACAAACACAAAGCACAGTCAGTTAATAGAACAATAATCGACTATATGATCGATAAAAAAAAACCTGAGGTCTACCAGGAACCTTCTACATCAGTAGTAGAACTCTCTGTGAAGACTGTCTCTCTCCAAGCGGATTAGATATTTCTGCATGGTTCCAGTTATCATTGATAGTAAAATTCACGATTGCTTGATTGTGTTTGCTCCAGCTGAGTGGCAGCGTTATGACCATGTACAACGCAGACTTCGGAAATGTGGAGGTTCAGGGAAATATCCAGTTTTCCATCAACTACGTTCAGAGGCTCAGAGAGTTTCACATCTTCGTGGCCAAGTGCCAAGACCTGGCTGCAGTCGACCCAAAGAGGGGGCGCTCAGATCCGTGAGTAATGTACCTCTAATTCATCGAGAGCAATTTCTCCGATAAACGTTTTTCACATTTTACGTAGCGTCCATTTTCTTTAAACTGACGACCTGAAGTCAAACACAGGCGGGAAAGCTGCACACTCATAACTGCACCACCGACATCATTTGTTTTTTTTGTCTGTTAGATTATGCAAAATGTACAGGATGGATTATCACAAAACTTGGTGGAAGGATGGAGTATGGGTCAGGAAAGAACCCATTACATTTTGTTGCATGTAGCATTTTCTTGTAACATTGTGAAATAGGGTGTTTTTCAACAATGTCAATGATTTGTATGTGCAATTTGGTGCAGATCCTTAAATCCAAATCCAGTGAATTTAAATGTGGTTTCAAAAGGGGACTGTTGGGCCTTGGTGGAGGTATGAATTCTACTGAGTGCCATTGTAGTCTTATTTTAACTCTGGTCTATTTTGGACATCTTTTGATTTTGCCTTTATACACCACAGAAATACTCACCGCAGTGGTGTATGAAGACGAAGTCACAGGGAAATATGTTTGGGGGGGATAAATCAATAAAGGAGCCTCTGCTACAATCCAATACAATACATATTATACTTTGATGAAGTTGTATCATAACCAAGCCACACCTCACAATCATTATTGCATTATTTGTTTATATAATGATGTACTTGATGATTAACTACGAAAGAGAAATGGGCTTAACTTTTAAATTTGGACGGTGATATCTCCTTTATAACTGAAATTTTGTCAGGAAAAATATAAAGCCTATTTAATAGGATGTTAGAAGTAATTAATTTTAGTTAACCAGTTTTTGGCATTTTGGCTTCCAACTCTTTATTGTACTGTATATCTCTGGTGTATTTGAGTTATGTAGCCTGACTTTTTGTCTGTTTGTTTTTTCTTTTTTTAAGATACGTCAAAAGCTATCTGGTACCTGACAAATCAAATCTGGGAAAGAGGAAAACATCTGTGAAAAAGAAGACGTTAAATCCAACATTCAACGAGATCCTCAGAGTAAGAATCAAAGCAGATTCGATGCCTCTTGTATTAAAGACACACTGAGAATTTCTCACGCTGTCATTTTGAATACTTGGCATGGACGACAGTCAGCAAACAAAAAGCTTCTCCCTCTTCTCTGTCCTCTCAGTATCGTGTTCGCATGGAGTACCTCAGGACTCAGACACTCATTCTCTCTGTTTGGCATCACGACACGTTTGGCAGGAACAGCTTCCTCGGCGAGGTCGAGGTGGACCTCTCCAAGTGGGACTTTGACCACACCCAGATGACCGATTTAGTCCTGAAAGCCAGGGTAAGAAAAAACCCTCACAGGTCCCGTGTTCCACTGTATTTGTTTTCTGATCAAATAACAGCAGTTTATCTTCGGATGTGGTTTCTCTGCTCAGTCTGTTGAGCTGTCTCTACTGTATCACATGCACTCTATTTGTTTTATATCCTGTGGACAGAGGACTAAGGAGGAATTTTGAAAGTGCTATTTATTTAACGTTGCAGACTACACCCACTGTAGCACCGAATGGGAAAGGAGAGATGAGACTAGCCATACGGTTCCTGCCACAGATCACCCACAGTGAAGGTACACAGTCTCATGCAACTTTCAGAGGTGCACTGACCTCCAGACATTCTCGTTAAATTATCCGGAGGGGCTGTATGTGCAAACCCAAATGTCAGAATCAGTTGCTCCAGACGCTCTTCTGTGTTTTTTCTGTCAGCACCCCTCATAAAAATGTCTGGAAAATTCAGTGGTCCTGTTGACAGATGAAAAAAACTGAAAATAACCCAAATAATAGAAATGTCACATTCTTCTTCATATGTAAAAGTCAAAGTTCATGTCTGAAAATAACATTTCTCTACAATTTAAAAAAGTCATTTGTTGTGTGATAATTATTGTGATAGGTAAATTGATTTGGTTGTGTTGTTATAATGCATGCAGTGTGAGCGACAGGTGCAGCCAGATGTTCTGTGAACTATATCATTATGTCTCCTTCTTATTGAATGTTATTAAATGACCAGAATATTGTCACTGATTTATGACTGAGGTTTTCCCATGAATCACATATGTCTGTGATATATTATATAATAACTATTTATTCTGTAAAAAAGTCAGAATATATCAGATCTTAATCATGAACTGTATATAAAGATGGACGACAGGACAGTTCCCCAAAAGTGAAGCCAAAACATCTTGATCGCCACCTGATGGCTGGCTGCAGTGGGGGACCCGAGCCCAACCTCCCCCATGTTAGCAGATGGGACATTGATCAAACTAATAAGTCAAAAATTTATTTTAGAGATGGTTTTCTGTTTCTGTTTTAAGGTTGTTATTACCACACTGATGTTTGTAAATGTGGTTTGAATTCGTTATTTGATGCTGTAGAAATGGGCTGAAATGGTCATGATCGACAGCTGAAACTGACTCGCAATTGGTCGAGCATGTGTATGGGACCTCGATACCATGTCTCTATCCCTGATCACTACTGTGCAGACTCTGGCTCCACATATGCAAGATGGCAGCGTTCCTATCTGATATATTTTGGCTTCATTCCTGGACAGTGGGAGGAAGTGGAGACACGTCATCCATTTTTATTAACAGATGATAGTCTTAATCAGGCAAAAATAGTTTTAGCTTCTCAGGACAGAACGATTGCAAGTTCATAAACATCTGGTGTCATTTCTTCTTTCAAGGCGTAACTAAAGACGGTCCCAACACGGGAGAGGTTCACATTTGGGTGAAAGAATGCAAGAACCTGCCTCTGATCAGGGCGACCATTGACCCATACGTTAAGTGGTAAGCTCATATTCTTCACAAGTATGAATAGGAATTCTAGATTCCTGCTGTGTCAATCATCGTGCTTCCTTTTCCCCATCATCTCAAGCTTCATGCTGCCGGACACGAGCAGGAAGAGTCGGCAGAAGACGCGGGTGCTTCGGAGGACCGTGGATCCGGTGTTTAACCACACGATGGTGTACGATGGCATCAGTGAGACTGACCTATCAGATGCCTGTGTGGAGCTAACAGTTTGGGACAGAGACAGGCTGGCAAGCAACCTGCTGGGGGGGATGAGGCTCGGAGTCGGATCAGGTATCGGTGGGAAAGGTCCATCCAGTTCTCAAGCATTACATGGTTATAAACATCAACTAAGTAAAGAATATGAGAGTAATTAAGGCCCAAAATCAATATGAAAGCCCATGTAATATAAACACATTATCAATAAACATACGTGTTTTTAATTTGTCTCTGTAGGGAAAAGTTATGGAGCAGCGGTGGATTGGATGGACTCAACCCCCTATGAGGTGGCCCTGTGGGAGCGCATGATGGCGTCCCCTGATGAATGGGTGGAGGATATACTCCCGCTACGAATGGTGAACTCTGCAAAAGCGACTTTCAAATAAGCTCCAGCACAAAGACAATCTTTATCTGACAAAGATAAACAAAACAGTAAATGAATTGCTATATAGATGCAGTGCACTGATTTAAATGCAGCCAGAAAAAGCTGATGAAATAATGACAAGAGTGAAAATTTGGGAATCAACCACGCGGTTATACTGTCACCTGTGGTGCTACCTGACAAAATGGTTCCAGATACTTTCTTATCTTTGTTCATAGTCCAGTTGTTCCAGGAAAACACCAAATGGTACATGTTATGACCTTTTTAAATGTTTTAGAGCATGAACGTCACTGTTCATAAAAACAACCTGGAGGGTGATGTAATTAAAAAAACATATTGTTCATGCTGCAATAATAACCCATTAAAACATTTAAAAACTGACTTATGTCTAACAAAGGTGACAAATTACAAAAAATAAATATCTTTAATGCCAATATTAAGACTTTGATCACTTTTTGTAAGGTAAAAATATAAAGTAAGTTAAGAAATGTGATGGCAATGTCTCAAGGGATGACACTCAAAAGTCAACATTAATGAATATATTATATTCACCTCATTTCACTTTAGTTTTCATACATTTAAATCAAATCAGTCTTTCAGTTTCTACATTTCAGAACCTATTATTTATTTTCTCTAATATTTCTTATTTTTGTAGTAATCCTAGTTGCGTAACATTGGTCTATTAAGCTATAGATCTCCTTTAAGTAACTTCATTTTCATATATCCTTTGTTAATTAATACTAAAACACTGGGTCATGTATTTCTGTTGCACTGGACCTTTAAGAAACCAACCCTCCGAGTATATAGTTTATCTCTCCTGTCTTTATGTTCTTGTTTCTTACACAAATTTTGACAGTATTGTTCTAAATGTAATTAGAAATTGACAGCATATCTGACACATGAAGAATTATTGCACTTAAATATATGAACCATTAAAGAAATTCAATACAGGACGACTTTCACAAAGTCTTTTTTTACCGATCTGCAAATTCTGATGAGTTCAAATATTTTGAGATCATCAATCATATCAACATTTATTTGGATGGACTGACACACAGTTGTACAAAGAGACTGGTGAATCCTACTTTATCATTATGAAACCTGACTTTGATGATGCCCTGACTTTCCCTCTGGCAACACCATGAGGCCGACATCTTAAAATCCCTGAGTGAAACATCCTCAAACTTGAATGTGACATGTGTTAGTGAGGAAGTGATGTCTTAGAGAGTGTGACAGTTACGAGTCACCGTCAGTAAAACAAAGATTGACAGACTGAGTCTGGTAACGAAGTGGAAACTCAGATTTTTGTTCTCTTTAAATCTGGAGGAATTAAAAGATGAAGTTTTCCTCTGAGATGCTCCGATGCTTAGTTTGGTCATCACAAACAGTGAAGTGAAAGGTTCGTGTTACTGCACATATGAAAGTACAAGAAACCTGTTTGGAAACCTGTTTGGAGCAAAATTGGATTTGTTGCTTTGCTTCACTGAAAAGATAGATGTTTCTGATGATTCTCGGAGATCATTTTTGAGGGAAAACATAAAACACTGAGAAAGGCTTGAGTTTGAATTGTCTGTTCTCTTTATTTCGAGGGGAAACAGGTCTTTAGTTGCATTTTGCTTGCAGCAGTATTTATGTGCTTCCAATGCTCAGCTAAATGGTGACACCTTAGCTACAATGCTGAAGCTCCCCACGATTAGATGAGTATGTTTCTGATACTCTGCAGGCTAATACTTTACTAACACCTCTTTAAATTCAGAAACTAAAGTTTATCATCGTTTTTTCCATCCTTCAGTTGTCCACACAGTTTGGTCAAAGCTTAACACATTTTAAGTTTTGGAGCTCCCCTGCTGGGTGTGCATGGCCAACATCTGTGCACACCACATGCAGATAAAAGCAGTTTTTCTGTAATAATGTGAACACGCCTCTGTGAGATCATACTCAGATACAGTGATGTTCAAACTGAATGCTAATGCCAACATTCTGATATTCGGATGTTTGGCATGTATGTCGCCATGTTAACAGTATTAGTTTAGTGTGTTAGCATGATAACACTTTTTAATTAGAAAAAAAAAATAAAGCTGAGGCTTTGTCAGGGGCATTTTATGCCTTTATTAAATAGTGATAATGTTGACATGACTGTAAATGAAGGAGAGAGAGATACAAAGAGTTGCTGATTTATAGTCTGTAATTTAGACTAATTTCATGACAGCCCAAACATTGTTAAGATATAATAACATTTCAGCCGAGCTGTGTTAATGTCAGTCAGTCGTGGTCAGTTAGTTGGTCGTTGGTGAAATAGTTGGTCAGGTTAGTTGGTGACATATCTCACAAGCTACTTTACAAACTGGAATTATCCAAATTGACTGATCATTCACTTACATCTCCAAACTGTTAACTTCAGCCTGCTATAGTGTGAGAACTGTCTTCCTTCTCAATTGAAAACATTTTATAAGTAAACTATATATAGCTGAGCACATTAGATGCTGTCATATATTAAATACCTCCACATGAAAACAGGATTAAAACTAATGTTTAATTACTATTGTAATACAGATTGTGTGTCCTCACATCCACCATTAATAAACAATGTAATTCTTAACGATTATAAAGTTGCATGCCTCTAACTGCTGACCCCCGTGTTAAGATGCTGCTATATGTGTAAAATGGTAAAGCTACATTGTCATATGTTGTGTAACATGAGGCTATTGTCTCTGTGACTTGTTTTACTTGCAGATGATGAAGTGCTAGGAGATAAGTCAGAGGATGTTACTGGATAAGTGGTTTTCTTCTGTTGTGCAACATGACGTAGACGGCTATGGCGACGAGGAAGATGGTTAGGATAACGATGCAGACGATCACAGCCACCACAGGGCTGCTGTAGTTCTCAGACGCCAAATCTGCTGGAGGAGGGTGGAAGGAAAGAATTAAGATATCAAACATTAATATGCTTCCGGAGCACAGTAGTAAATGTTGCTAGTTACAGTATGAGCATGTACCAAGAAAGTAGTCCATCAGAGACAAAGTCACCCAGGCCATCACAGCGAATTCAGAAAGAAACTCACAAACAGCGAGAAACATAGCACAGTCCCCATGAAAACTATTGGCACAGCAACGCCAGTTGCTTTGTTTTTGTTGTACTCTGAAGCTTTACGATGGAAAGAAGAAAACGAGATCAGTCATTGAACAGGTACCACAATCCACCGTTTGAAGAAGACAGACCAAAAATACAGAGACTATGACGCAAGATGCAAACCACTCGTGATCAGTGAGTAAGGTTGAAGTTTGCAGAGATGAGATAAACCTCTATCAAGTGATGGAAAGGCCGAATGTTTGAGAAAGAAAGGTTCTGCATGTGAATCAAAACATGCAGCACAACAGCATCTGTGAAGTGATGGTTTGGGCTTGTGTGGTGCAACAGGTTCATCAATTTAAAGAGGCTGCAGAAAAAGAATGCAAAAAGCATCACGAGTGAAGAATTCAACAGTCAGTTGCATGCTTGATGCGATTAATGAAAGTTGCAGTGAAAGAGTTGAGTAAATGTTCTTACTGTGAGAAGAGTAGGATGCTGGACGAACCTCCTCTGAAAAGTTGATCCAAACTATCATCAGTAATTTACAGGGTTCAATTTGTATTTGTTATAAACATTAACTCAAAGGATCAAAACTTGAGTTCAATATCTATTAGTTTCATGAAAGCTACAACCCGTAGCTGGTTAGCTTAGCTTGGCATAAAGACTGGAAACAGAGGGATACAGCTAGCCTAGTTCTGTCAAAAGGTTAAAAAAAAACTCATGAGTAAACAACAGCTTTTTAAATCATCGCAAATGTGACAAATTTTATTGTGGTGGTTTCTGATTTCTAGACTTTATGCTAAGATAATCACCTGGTAACTCTTGCTGTGTAGTTATTGTACAGATATTAGAGATGTATTGAACATGGCTCAGAGCAATAAAATGAAGAGTACATTTCCCAAAATCTCAAACTACTGGTATAAAAGTATAAAGATATTGTATTCCAAATAAAGATCATGATTATAGCCTGGGCTCATTTTATCTGTTAAAATTTTACATTAGCCGCGATTGACCCCCATTACTTACCATTCATTTTCGTACGCTTTAAAAAATAAATTCAGGTGAATGAATCGATCAATCAGTTTGCATATTTTAAATTAATTCTGACTTCATAAAATCAAAGACTTGATAGACTGATAGTAAAGGATGTTTGTTGTAATTTGCTCCAAAGACATACCACTGCTTTGTTGGCCCACAAGTATGGCAGGCGAGGTGACCGTGGCGGCGTCAGACACTTCCTGGGCCTCTCTCTTTCTCCTGTTTGTGCCATTGCAGTTCTGTTGGAAACAAAGACAGTATGAGGCTCAGTGCAATTTGATTTTTGATATCTTAACCGAGCTCTGGGGGGAAAAGACAAGTTCGCTCACAGGCAGGAAGGAGCTGCACGAGGACACCTCACAGAGTCTGGTGATGCAGTGCAGGTAGAAAGTGGAAACAGTCTGTTTTTTGTGCTCCACAAATCTGAAAGCCTCAAAGGAGAAGTACGCCTTCTGATCCACCCCGTTGCGCTCCACCTTAGTTTGTGCGTCACGTGTGCACCTTGAGTGAAAGAAAGGCGAGTCGTGTTACACAGGGATGTTTAAAGGTAAGTGGAAGGTATTATAAACTGTGCTTGAATACAGGAGACTCACCCTACAAAAAGATCATAATAGGTATCTACAGAGGGGTAGGGGCTTGTTGTTGCATAGCATCTGTCCAGCAGCACGTTGAACCTTCAAGGACAGACAGGTGGATTCAAGGTGTTTCTTTCTTATTAATATAACGTGTGGTTTACTGCAAGCTGCCAACAAACCTAAATACCTGTCGGTTAAATTGGTGGCTGTAACTGCAACGTAGATCTTGGTCTTCAGGTTGAGTCCTGTTTGTGGGATATCTAGAACTTCCAGGTGCTGCTCAGTCTGTTCCACAGAAAAGAACAAACAAAATACATATGATATATATGATGAAATGTTTTTTTAAAAAGGTGTCTGTCCTTCTAAAAGCCAAAGGAGGTCTTACTTTGTAGAGCCATATATTCAGAGTGCTGATGAAGCTGCCATTGTTCTCTCTCATGGCCAGATTGACTCCTGATCTGTGTTGAAAGAAGCAGAAGTCATGAACTGCATTAGAAACTTGGATGTAGTTCAATCCTCCTTCACATGCAGTGCAGGTGTAGCCTTTGGTACCATGAAGTATACTCACACAGCCACTTCAGTGTTGTTCAGGACATACTGCATTGGGTAACGACAGGAGAACATGTATGTGATCTGCGGCCTGTAGGTGATCGTGCTGACGGACAGGTCTAGAGAATTAATCTCGCCTGAAATGTTGATGAACTGGACATTTGAGAAGTCAGCAAACTGTCCAGTTCCAACCTCATTGGTCACCTGATGAAAAACCATCATATATCTTAGTGAAAACAGTTCAAATCCGTTTTCTGTCTTGCCAAGATGTTTACACTTCTATTTTTGGTCTGTTAGTAAGTAAGATTATGCAAAAATTACTGAAAACATTTCCACCTTGGTGGAAGGATGCAGTACGGGCCAAGGAGGAACCCATTTCATTTTGGTGCGGATCCAGATCAGGGGATGGATCCAGGAATTTATCATTGCAAGATAGGGTGGGGGTTTTGGCATTTAAACTGATTTCTCCCCCCAAAAAAATTTATATTTAAGAATTGAAGGTTGATTTTAATACCAAAAGCAGATTTTTACCTTGTTGCGTTACAGATTGTGCATTATTATAATCTCATTATCTACTGGATAATCTTCATAGCCCGAGTCTCCCAGTAAATCTAACAGAATTACCAAAAAGTTTCTATAATATATGCAGATGATAACATCTTTCATTAAGTTGACAGAAAACTTTAATGCACACTAGTTGCACATCAATATAATAGATAGATAGATGTTCAATTGACAATCACTTTGAAAATAATAAGTAAAGCTATTGTAAATAATACCTTAAAGATACTATTGCAGGCGGAGATGGCACTTTCGTTCAAGGGGATTTTGAAGTTTAAGATCGGCGGGACAGCGGTCCAGTTTGCAGTCCCAAAGCACTCAGGTTTGTCAAACTCATTGTTGAGGACCATCAGAGACTCGTTGTAAAATGCTTGGTAAACTGGACAGATGTAGATGCTCAGGTCCATGTACTCGGTGCCACACACTACAGTTATGTCTGAGTTTTCTATGAGAGATTAAGAAAAGGGAGGTATAAAGCAGATTGCACAGGTGTGAAAATAACAGAGAAGAAGGTGTTATTGCAAATGCCACAAACCTGGAGGCCTGTTGGTATTACTGAGGATACAAGCATTAGGTAGCTGAGCCTCTGTCCTCAGAATTAGACCAAGCAAGCTCAGAAGAAACACCAGCCTCATTGTTCCGAGTGTGGACCTGTGCGAAAACAGCAAAACAATGAGCCCTGACACATTCACTGTCTCTTTTCAAGGGAAAGTCCTTAATAGAAAACTATACAGACATAACAAACTTCAACCTTATTTTGAAACACACAACAAACACACTCGAGAAAAAGCAAAAGACATGCTACAGCTTCAGTCTTGGCAGTGTCTGGATTTTAACCTCGTTATTTACAAGAAATAAAATGCATAACATGGAATAACTGATCCTTAAATTCAGTGGCACAGATTTGCACAGGAATTAAAACATTCTCTATTTGTGATGAAGAAAGTTAGAAATAATTTTCAATAAGATAAAGACCCTCACATTATATTTAATGTCTTTTGATGTAATGTGACTTACATTAAAATGACAGGAAATTAGTCTCCACTGTTTGAAAAAAGACACAATAATCTATATCACCTATTATCAAGAAAAATCACCAAATGAATTTAACTGCAGTGAAAAAGAATTTACCAAGTAATTTTAGGGACTCACATGTAGGTCTTCATTGTGTGCTCTTCTGTGTTGGACCTCAGATCCCTCCATTTATACTGTTGGCCCCCCACCGCCACCCAACACCCTCGCCCCAAAGGGGCGTGGAAGGGAGCATCTCAGACAATAGCATAACATGTAACACAAGCTGAGCCTTCACCATCTTAATATTTCACGTCCATTTTTATAACAATTCATGTACAATAAACTTCACGCAGTTCAACACGTCAAGTGGCTCCACCTCACCTTGTATTGATAGAACTGCTTTTTTTCGAAAAGCACTTTGTTTCCTGCTGTTTCATATGTAACAGGGTGTAACAGTACCCTCACACATTTATCTATTTGCATATATGCAAAGTGATATTTGTCCTGAGTAAAACAAGTACTGCCAGCAGGATATATTTAAAGTATCAAAAGTAATATGTCATATCACATGACATTATTGCTTTGGTGAATCAACGTGTAAGTAGGATTTTACTATTGTCACTGGGTGAGCTGGGGCTGCTTTTTGCTACCTACAGTTTGGTATTTGTGTTCGGTGGTTCCCAGCCAAGGGCTGAGAAAAAAGATCCCAGGGGCTGTGAGATGATAAATGGGAGAAAAAATGAAGAAAAACACAAAATTCTAGAAAAGTTGTTTCAGTGCATAATTTAACATATTTAGGAGTAGAATATATCCACTGCTAGCAATGACACAAACATTTTTTAAAGTGTCACAACCTGACAATTTAAATGTGTACATTTAAATAGTGGAGTTGCATTAGTGGACATCTCCCATTTGATCAGGCATTAGATATGAGTTTATTTGTGGGCTGATGCAATGTTAATGGCTGAGAATAATGTTATTCAATGGAAAAACACTTGATTGCCATCCTGGGTATGGACAAGGAGACTATCGCATAGAAAATGTGTACAAAACAACAATGATTAAAGACCAATATTTCTTGTCCTATGAAAGGACAGGATCAGCGATCTGTTGTGGTGTGTTCTTTTGAGATCTTTAGATGTGATAAAAGTCTCATTATTCTTCCTCAGTGCGAGGTTCGTAATGGATCAGTTTTTGTTTTGGCCTCAGGCTGAAAACTCCAAATAGAACCTTTCAGTACAGTCTGCAAATAAAAGACACACCTAGATCTGAGAGAAATCCAAAGGCTTTTGTGAAGCATTTTGACACGAAAGAAACTCCAGAGTGACTCCGGTCCCTGAAGAACATCACCACAATACACTGAGGATACAAACTGAAAAAGGTTCCTGTTGGATTACTTTTGACGTATCCGATGTCAAATGCCAGTTTTAATCTCTCCTTTCTTCACTATATAACCATTTGTCTGCAAGCAATGCCATCAATGTTACTGACAACACATTTTTTTCAAAACTTGGACCCAGAAGCAATAAATATGGTCCCCCTGGGGAAGTGCTAACACATCTAGGTCAGGAACCACAAATCCCCTGCATTAAAGGAGTGGATAAAATTGGTGTTTACTGAGGATCCGAATCCTGATGACTCAGCTGAATGTAAAAAATGTATGATTTTGGCAGAGATGAAGTTTACGAATTAACTGAATCTCAATTTCTACCTCATGGTCTTATTCGGCCGATAAAATAGGCTGATGAGCAGAGGATTCAATATTTTCATTAGATGCATAATATGACGTGCATGGGTGTCCCTGTCATACCTCAGAAAGAAAGCGTTGCCAAGTAAACCAGTGGCCTGTATTGTGAGCTTTGCTGTGACGCACAGATTTTCGGTCCTGGTTTATCACAGATATATCAGTATCAGTGTCTCCAGATTAAGTAACAACACATTTTAGAACAGAAACGCCAAAATGTATGTCTGGTCACAACTGTGTCATAGTTTTTTCCTTAAGTAAAATATCCTGGTTAATTCTGCAATAACCCAAATTACTTTAGCTTCTTTAATTACCAACCATTAATTAGTGAGCTTTTAAGGTTAAATGAAGAGTTTAGATATCTGTATCCCCTTCGTTTCCAGTCCTTGTGCTTTGACGGATGGATGCATGGATGGATGGATGGATTCCTTAAGGCTAGTGATCAACCTCCACATCCAAAATCTGGTCTGAAACTGGACTGGAAGTTTGTCAACGGAGCTAAAATACTTGAAAACACATAAAACACCACACACTCGATGACATTTTCTCATAGTAAGAATCAAATTTGGACTCATGCTTTCCTTTATGTTGGTTATTCACCATCATTAAGAAAAGAGTGATCGTTATGTGTCCATCTGTCTTTGTAATGTTCAGTTTGACAGGCGTCTCAGACTTGGTAACAATGCCAGACCTGTCTTACATGTCCCCCTCATGTGTCCATGAATGTGACTCCTTCACAGAAATGTGAGGAATAACAGGCTTCACACACTCAGTGAGCATATGGATGTTCACAAAGAAACAAGAATGGTGGTCACGTAAGTCCCAGGGACAAATAAAGTGTCTTGTGTATAGGGATCTGACACTATACAGTTCAGTGATGCATCCACTAAATTTACTCAAGGGAAAATTAGAGAGAAAAACAAAGTTCGTTAAAAGGCTAAATTACATAACACATGGTCACAACCAGTGTTTTTAAGAAGTCGGACATTTTCTGTCACGTTTTTATTCCCATTGTAAACTAACAGGCTGAATAAACAGTTAACATTTGATTTCTGCTTTGCCTGTGCAGACATTTTAGAACGCAAGAATCCAAAAGTTGACAATAAAGCATTTTGTAAGTCTTAATCATTTATTTAAAAGGATGATGCTATGCGCTGTCACTACATAATACATTTCATTTTATCGTTTGCATCTATTTGCAGACAAGCTCAAAACTAATGTGTAATGTGAAAAAATTATTTTGGGTTTTTTGTTTTCTATTATGTACACCATGCTTTTGCTGCCCACTTTCTATATTTATACTTCTATGCTTTTGTTTTGTTATATATTAGTATGTTCATGCGTACATGTTATAATACTTTGTAGATCCTATTGTCTCCTTCCTTTTCCTCTGTTGCAACTTTACAGGATCAAAATAAACTGGAAGCTGTTGCTTTGTTTTTGTTAAACTTTACAATAGCTTCCTTTTCAACACCTACTGACTGTAATTAGACCACAGTGAACACTGAGTCACACTCTCAGACACATGCAACACCTGAGCTGTATCATAACATGTTGTGACGGTATCATAGGAGGATCCCACTCTTTTTAATGTCACACCAGGACACCACTCCTGTGTGTACGCTGCTGTAAATGGTAAATCAATCCCATTGTTTGTTATAAAACTTGATGATCTGTGACCCAATTGTTATTTCAGTAAAACACCCTGATCTCAGTATCTATTCCCACATTAAGATTTGGTGGTGCTTGACATATTGTGTATTTTAGAGGTATTAACCTACATATCGGTGTACTTGATGCTTCTAAAATTACTCACTGGGTTTTAACCTGGCACTTATAGTTGCTGTTTAATCTGCCACTACTCCACTATTGCCAACTGCAAAAATTCTCTAATCCTTAATTTACAGTGTAAATTATAGGCTCTCCCATTAAGTAGTTTTGTCTTACTTAATTGTATTTATATTCAAAACAAAGTTTTAGTAGTACAAATACTACCCTCTCAGACTGCTACTGTTTTTAGCTTTGTAACTTTTCAAGACTGAAAGACTATTTTGGTTCTGTTTTATGGAGTCTTTGGTTCATTGACTTGTGCCTGTGTTTCCTCGTGTTTGGGTTTGTGTTCAGTTGTTGTCCCCAGAGTTCTCCACTTCCTCCCGTTTTATTTTTGAAAGGACGCTCCTTTAGTGTCCCCAGCTTTGTTTGCAGCCTCTGTCCCATTTTCTCACCCTTGTGATCATCTGCACCTGTTTCTAATGTGTTTCACCTGTTCAATTATCCTGCCTCCTTGTGTATAAAAGTCTCTGTGCTTCTCTTTTTCTTTCTGTCTGTCTCTTTCCCGGTTCACTGTCTGTCATGTTTTTTGAACCCTGTTTACTCTAAGAACCTTTGCTGAAATCAAAGGACACTTTCTTTTGACCTGGCTCCTGCACTTGGGTCCTCCTGCTTTCCTCAACCGTCACATAAAGTGTTAATTCTCAGGAACATTAACTGTGGTGAGATCCCTTTGATCTGATTTTATTTCCAGGCTCAGGGCAGCACTTCTCCTGTGGTTTGCGTTTAGTTAAATCACTTTATGTTCACATCACTACAGTGTTATTTTAAGAGGTGGTTATTAGGCTGAAATGCTTGATATTGATATTGCGATATCGAATTTGTCAATTTTCCCTTTATAACCTCACAGCAGTTTGTTCTGACTTGTTATTCTGCTTTTGTAGTTTCACAGGGTTTCCATGAGGTCTGAAAATGTAGCCATCTGAATTTTATAGATATATATATATATATAAGCACATGTTCTATAAGATGCACTAGGCTTAAAAATTAGGCATAGTTTGTAATCACTGTCAATATGCTTTTCCGTTTACCATAACACTCTAAGCTATAGCTGACAAATGCACTTGGGCTGCAGATATTATGATACTATCATTTATTTATATTAGGTTGCATTAATGCAGAGAAACAAAGTAGACAACAAAAGCAATGATCGTATTTATTTTGCTTTATCATGAATATTTAGTTCAACAGGAAGTGGTTGCAAAGTTCATTGGGATATTGGTTCCTTTTAGCCGTGTGTGTGTGTGACTTTGGCAGGTCAGCGTGAGTTAGAGTTTCTTGGGCATTCATGCATCCTGTAGGCACACATGTAGAAGATACCTGCAATGAAGTAATGACATCATTAAGAAAAATAGCGCAACAGCAAAACACGACCAGTAAAATTTCAGAAGTGCGATTTCCTCTTGTCTGCAGTTGTTGACGTGGAACGATGACGATACCTGAGAAGAATGTGAGCACCACTGCCACCCAGCCCATTATATAGGACCAGGAGAACCGCCAGCTGCCATAGCGTTTACCATAGTAGTTCACTGTCACTCCAGTGTAGACTGCCATGGCCAGCAACACAAAGAAGCCTGCAACAATTCAATCAAATCAATGAAGTTTGATCAGATGTTGGAGAGCCATATAGAGGCCACAATTTAATATTGATTGTAAGTGATTATTTTCTAAGCAGGGGAAACATCAGGGGAGTGATTTACAGGATATGAAGAAGAGGATGCCGGCTGCAAATGTCTTGTCAAACCCGTCGAAGGAGGAGTAGTGGATGAAGGCCATGACTCCGATCACGATGCCAATGAAACAAGCCAGTAGGGAGAGAATCATGAAAGCCCGGGTGGCGTCCCAGTACGCTGCAGGGAGAGGAGACAAGTAGAGCGTGACACCCAAGAGGCCCAAGACTCATTTGAGGGTTCAGAATATTAGATTTTTTTTTTCTGTCATACATTCACTTCATGTCCTGTTCTCACAGGTCTTCCTGTTTGTCCCTGTGTGGCAGGCAGCAATAGTTTGCCATCTAGTGTTTGGCTGTGGGTTTGTGCCTCTTTGTTGCATTTAACAAAGGTGACTGAGAATTAAACTTGAATAATATGAATAAAGTATATAGACTATAAGAATAAGCTACCAGAGAACTGCTGTGCTGAACTGTGACATTACTGCTTGTAATGTACACCAATTAATAAATATACAAATCACACTGATTAATGTTCAAGTGCTCATTTTTTTCTCATAAGGTTGATTTGAATAAGTTATTTAATGCTATAAAAACTGAATGAAATGACATGATTGACAGCTCAGACTGACTCAGGATTGGTCGAAATAGGTCAGTAATTCATTTAAATCAATATTATTTGCCACAGCTTTTTATTAAATCAAATTATTTTGAATTTCCTATGGTACTTTTTTAATTCTCTTTTTAAATCATGTTAATTTCTTTTCAAATGTTTTTTTTTTCTTATTAAAACATTTTTTTAAGTGTTGCCTTTTATATAAAATGTAAAGCAATTTGAATTGTATGCATATATAGGATTATATACAGCTATATAGATAAACTTGCTGTGGCTTTAAAGTCCCAGATGGAGTCAGTTTTTGAGTAAAAATTGTTAATTTTAATGCGGCCTTTCTACAAAAAGAGCAGCTTCTGGGGTTTCGTAAGATTTCAGGGTGACATTTTCTTGACAGTGACATAAATTTACAACTTCTTTGCACATATGAACCCCCACAAAAAATTCCCCAGAGGGAGGAACTCCAGCTGATCAGGGCTGGTGTCGAGGTCACGGACTGATTGTCATTGGGCTGATAAATATAAATGAGGATGTGCCTGCCGGTTCCCATGCAGAGACACAAACGAGCCTTACCAATGCTGTCTGTGTGTGTCATGCATTTCCCCGGCACACAGTACCGCCACAGGCCCTGGTGCATGTAATTGCTGGAGTGACGGTACTGCATCCAGTAGTCGGTTGCTGTGGAGACGATGAGGAGTATGTTCCCAACTCCGGCGCAGAACAACCCACCTCCCATGAAGCTGTACATCCTGACAAAAAAAAATAAAAAAAACACTGACTGACACAAAGAGAGAGAAAACAGTCTGGGTCAAGACCCTGCTGCCTCATCTATCTCCTGAAGCACATACAGCAGGTACTTCCTGTTTCACAGCACAGTGCTGGATATGAATAAAACATCGTTCAGCAGGAGGCCACAAATGTCCTGCTGGAGGGTCTGATTATAGAAACATTTCTCATTAGCAGCCAGTCGACAGGTGGGTCCTAAAAATGCATGTTGGCATTCAAACATTTATTTTTAAACCAGCCGGTATTTATAAAGTTCAATTACACAAATCAATTTTCTAAATATACAACTCGTATGAGGTTGAAGAATGTGTTAAAGATGATAGGAATATTATTTAGGAATATTTTTCCAACTAGATCCAGTGGTAAAAAAATGTCTGGAATATATTATGGAAAAAATGTTCTTTTCCATCCTTACTTTAAAGCTGTTTTAGTAGAAAACAATGGGACAAAAGTGAAACTACCAAACAGAGAAGAGTTACATTTTCTAGTTTAAAATACATAAGAATGCACAGATACTTATGACATTTCACATTAGGGTTTTTGTGTTGATTACATACCTTTATCTTTTTTTTTGCTTCAGAAAACGTCAGAGATTCCAATATCTCGGGTTGTCAAAGCACAGAGGAGCCCAATATTGCCCGGGGTGGCAGGAAAGTTTTGTTTGTGCGTAGGAATCCGAGTGAACAAACGGGTTGATGGGACAATGGGCCGCGTGGAGCCACGACCAATCACAGGGGATGAGTTTTGTGTTTTCGGGAATTTGCTGAAAATACAAAACCGTTAAAGCGCTGTGCACATCTCGGTAATACTGATGACACAGGGCTTTTAATTCAAAATGCTGCACAACCACACACAGCAAACTCACAGCCTGAAATGGACTCGCCCACAGGGTTGTTAGAGATTATTTTAAATGTTAAATATGTCATTTTGAATTGTGTTTAAGATTGTGTGTTTCATGTTAATCCCTCTGTGTGTTATGCTGATAGTGAAGAAACATTGTTTTTTCAACATCGGCTCATATCTGATATTAAACACAGTTCTCTGATCCAGTCTTTACATATTTCTGTCATTCAAATGATGCTGATCTGCATTAAATAAATCCAACATTCATTTTTCTACAGGCCTGTGGCACAAATGATGGAGAATCTGCAAAGTTTATGTTTTTCGATCCTTATGATAACTATTTGAAAGACACATGTTGCATCTCATAATTTCAAGTCCTCTTCATTTTACTGGCAAAGCTAGAGGAATTATTTAAATTATAGAATATAACACATGTAAAAGTGAACTTGAACGCAGCAGAAATTCACAGGACATGATGCAGATGGGGAACTTGGCAGAGCGGAGGATTCTGGGCTGGAACTCTCTGTTTGCACAATTTAATAAAAGACATTTATCTTTGTCGTAACATCTGAACCAACTTTCTGCAGTTCACCTCAAACTGTACAGGGCTGAAGTACCTGTAAACTCTGAGATCAGGGGAGGGTTGATATATGTTGAAAGCATGTCTTTATAGAATCAGACTGAATGTGTGTGTAAAATTATAAATTCAGATGCCCTGCAGTTTTACACCAGAGTTCATAAGAGACTTTTAATATGTTCTCCATGTTGTGTTGTGTTGATTTTACATAACAACATGTTTCGGGTTCATGGTCCTGGTGTTGTACGTGTTGACTCAATGTCACTGTCAATGTTATCTGCAGCAATTAGACGCAGCCATTGGCCATTTTTCCCCCCAACCCGGTTCATTAGCAGGTGCAGACATAATGGTAGTAGAAGCCTATGTTTCTTAAATGTGTATTATCTGTTTATTTCAGTAGATTTAAGAATACATGTATTTGAAATAGTTTGCATTGGGACTGAGTCTGGGAGCAAAAGGCTCACAGCAGCTTGTAATTATACATCACGTTGAAATAAATGACTGATGTGTGTGAATGTAGTTATTTGAAGATACATCAAACAGCCTAAGTGTCCTTTGTGAAGTAACTCCACTCTTCCATCATAACTATCATCATCTCCTGCTGATTTACACTGATTTTCACACAGTTGAGTTCTTGTGGTCACGGAGCATCACAGTGATCACGCTCGTTCTGACCACTAGGTGGTGCCTTTTATTTAGTCTTGAAACAAATAGAGAAATTTTTGGGATTGGATTTTCCCTCATATTAAAAGGTTTGTTACTCCTTTTATATTAATTTGATTTATCTGCTCAGTTATTTATGTGATAGTTAGCCCAGATATAATTCCATTAGCCATCCTTTATACAGAACGTAGTATTTTTTATCAAAGATTTAAAGATTTTTTTATAATATTTAATTGTCTTATTGTCTCTCTCCTTTTCCCCTGTGTTGTTTATATGGTGTCTTATATCAGGTGTAACAGCTTTATGTGTCCCTACTCTTTGTTCCTCTCCGGTCTCTCCTGTCGCTCAGTGAGGTCAAACTGACCAGCTTTAAAGCTGTGCCAGAAACAGAGGGAGAGGCCTCCGTTGTGGGAACTGCTGTCATGTTGTGAGGTTTTGGCAGAACCAAGAAAACAGACCAACTGTAAGTCAGGTAGAGAAGACAGTGAATTTAATTTTTAAAAAAGAGCAGGTCTGTGGTTCAGGTGGCAGGGAGACTCAATAAAACATCCAAAACTCCAAAAACACAAGAGGAACCCAGGAAACCACAGGGAGCAAAGACTGGAACTTCTAGAATAACAAGAGATGTGAAAAAAACTGCGTTGTCCATCTTTAAATAAAGATGGACGCATTTCCACTTCCTCTTATACTATCCACACATGAAGCCTAAATGATGTTTAGTTGTTTATTGTTGACTTTTAGATGAATTTGTCCCAGTTAATATTCACCATGGTTACAAGGGCACTGGGAGGGGATAAAAGCGAATGTTTTGCTGACTCCTGGAAGTTCTGTGTAGTCGGAAAGGTTTGTAAATAAACGCACATGGAGAGGTGTACAAAATGAGAAATCTCCCGACTTCTTTATCCCATCGACTCCTACACCTAATTCATTTCTTATCTATTCTTTATTTATTTATTCATATTTCCTATTTTGCATTTTATGCTCTCCTGCTATAATCCTCTCAATAAGGGTCTAAAACATTTCTCTAGGAATAACTGAAAGCGCTTCAACTGAGCTCTCTCTCTATTTTGCTTGTAATTAGCCCACAATGATATGGTTCTTTCCAGGAAAGTTTGGAAATAAATTGTAATTTACCCATAAAACAAATTCTCTTCCATAATTTCATCTTTTTAAAAATGTGTTTAGCTGCTCAGCCATCCTTCCATGTATCCCTTTGCCTCTGCACAAGAAGCTGTACCCCCTGATGTGAACCTACTCATTGTTCTAGACAATTTCATATTTTATGTTCTGCATCATGTGATGCAGATTTCAAGGCCTCCCTCCACTCAGATCTGTGTTTTGCTTATTGTTACTGGACTTGGATGTTTGAGTCTCACTGTGCTGAAGGAGGACGTACAGAGTTTGATATCAGAAGACAGTCTTCACATTTATCTGCTGAGTGGGGAGAGTTTTTCTGTGTGTAGGATGAAATGATTACGATAAGACACTTGAGGTCCTTGATTTGAAATCTCTAGTTTTCAAAACACTGAGAAGGGATGTTACAGTGAAGTTCTCCAAATTGTGCATATTGATAATGAATAAGATGTCTATTTGTGCAGGCATATTGGCCTTTATTGACAGGATAGTAAGTGTGAATTGGGAGACAGAGTGGGAAAGACGTGCAGCTAAGGGCCGGGTTGGAACCGAACCCATGGACCCTCATCAGGTAAAACCCGAAACATTGTACACTTAATGAAGTTTTTTTGAAGTAAAGGACAGTTTTCAGAAATCCCCCTCTCTCACCTGCACGTGCTTTTTCTCCTAAGCACCTGTACACAATATTTTTTAAAGGTGTACATTGACCTTTTTATTGTTAAAAGGTAATTGAAAAATAATATCAGAGGAAATCTTATCCAAAGCTAAGTATGTTTACACGTTTTAAACATGTGCTTATGAAGTAATATATGACAACAACAAAAAAGTATGATCCAGGGATTACATTTCAATCAGGAGAGACTTCAACTGAGAAATTAACACAATTTACAGGGACCCCCTGAGGGCTGGACACTGCTGGTGGTCGATGTAGAGATTGAGATTGTTGTTGAGGATGTAAATCCATATCCAGGACAGTGGATAAGGAGATGGCAGGTGATTGTGAAAGAAGAGGGTGGCAGAATCACTGACAGTCAGCTGACAGTGTTGGAGATCATCTGGAGATCAGAACCCAGCTCTCATGTTCCCCAGCTCATCAGGAGCAATGAGATGCACCAGGGACCTCGCTCAGCTGGTGGCGATCAGCTGGGAGGGTTCATAAGGAGGTCTGGTTTCCTTGTTCAGTCAGTTGTTTGCTGTCAGAGGGTTGAGAACCTTCAATTGTCTCTCTGAGTTTGTGTTGTTGGTTTTGCTTAGCCTAAGAATTTGTCACATGCCCAGTTTGTTCTCTGTGACTCCCACTATCTTTTGGTTTCGGTTCTATTTCTCTGTTGTTCTTTTCGATAGATTTAGTGGGTGACATTTGGGAAATGTATTCACATCACTAGGATTATTTCATATTCACTTTCTGCCTTGGATCCCTTTCAAATAAATCTTACACACTGGACCTTTAAGTGTTTTTGTTAACTTCCCCAATAGCGGCCCCTGTGTACCAGGTTTGTTTTTCTGGGGGGGGTGACAACAGTGAGAAAGAGGAGAACAGATTTAAAGTTTGGCAGCATCAATTGAAGTGGCCTCAATAACAGACTGTGGCTTGTTGAACTGAGCCTTGTGAGACCCTCTAATCCACCCTATAGGCCTAATGTTGAAGAAAACATCCCAATTACCTCAGATTAACATTATCCTCTGAGCCAGGAGAGACCCAGTGGGTATTTGCCGACAACAGCACAGACCAAACACTGGCAATTCTTCTAAATAACGCATCTGCACAGACGAGGCAGAGGAGGTGAAGGTGCAGTCATTAAGAACGTCTTCATCATGTTCAGTAGCTTGTATCAGAGAAGTTTGCTTACTGCTACAATGAAATGAAGTCTAAGTACATGTAGACCTCAGGGATGCTGATAGAAAAATCTGATCTCATGCTCTCCTGTTTCTCTTACTCGTAGTCTTCTCCTCGTGTGAATTATGCAACACACTTACACACACTTTCATGCCGCAGCTGTTCCTCACTGCGTTGCTTTCACCATGAATTTGTGCAAACATTATTTCAAGGTATTTTTTGGTAAATTCTGAGACAAACAACTTATTATTTTAAAATGTCATTTACATTTTACAAATTAAGTATTCCTGATACCAAAGGGTAGACTCATTTTGGTATATATTAGAATGTTACCGTTTGCTATTTAGCACTCAGTACAGCTGAGGCATTGGGCATAAAGGTGTCAGTGACTTTTATTTTATTTTAGCCTATTTCACCTTGATTCATGTATTTCGTGTTTTATTGTTTGGTTTCATTTTGGAAATTAACTTTTGTATAGTTTTCCTATATGAGAAATGTTATGAGATTGATTCAAGATTTTGGACACAGTAGGATTGGAACTTCAGTGAGCACAAGCTCTCATCGCTTTCCTTTTTTTTCGTCAAGTTTGAGTCTAAAAGAATTATTTATTTTTTCCTCATAAACATCCTAAATTAGTATGATCTTATTCTTATAATATTGTGACTTGCATCTCAATTACAAATTTATTCTTGTAACATTATTCTTGAAATCCAATATGACCCTAATACTATGGCCTATAATCCAAACAATTTAGAAAATAATGTGCCAAAATATGTATTATGGAGAGTATATGTATATGAGAGTTGTACATAAAATCTTCACCTCTTAAACTCTTGTTGGCAGTAGATGAAAAGTCATTAGAATATCATTTATAACTGATTAAGATATTAAACGTCTGTATTAAATGGTTTGTCAAATAATCATTTTTGGGATATTTCAGTTCGGACACTTCCATGTCTGAGAAGGCTTTACCTGTCCTGTCATATTCACACATGAACTGAAGCGATTTTGTAACAAATGTTTTATTGGTCAGTTTAAAAAGCTTGATAACACACTGGTGATCTACAGGAAAACCACAGCACAGTCACACAGAGATGACAGATTAAAAACAGTAGCACACACAAACACTACGCACATGCACTGACACGCACACTCAAACACACCCACACCAACATGATGAGTTATTACCGAATCCTCTGCTTCTTTTCCAGTCTTTAATCGAACACACACACCATCATGGTTTTAATGGTAAGGAGTAAACAGAAGATACATTCAATAATCAGCTGTACAATAATGTCAAAGTTACAGTTACTTCTCATTGCCTAAAAATACAATACTTTCCCCCCCAGATTTATTTTAGTAATATATCTCATCACATCTTTTAAAAATTGCAAATATGTCTATATACAAGGAGAAGGGTTGAAGTGAATCACAAAAAATAATAATCAAATCATTCAAATGATAAAAAATAATAAAAAATAGTTGGTGAAAAGGCAGATGGAGAGCCTTGACGCTTTCCCTTTTGTCCTCAGTTTTTTGTTAGATACCATGGCAACAGATTGAAGGTTTGCAAAGACAGGAAATCAAAGACAGGAAAACAAGGCCCACTTCTGTTCACATGAGGTTCTGGAAAGAAAAAAAATGAGATGATCAGTCATGTGACTTGATGCAAACAATAACAACAGCGTCATTTAAAACACAGGCTACCCACAGAAACATGGAGGTGGTTTGTTGCTATGACTGCCAAGAGCTTTACCCATTGATGCGTTAATTAATTTTATGCTCTGCAGAAGAGATGAGCATCACATATATTTGGAGCAATGAGGAAATTGAAACCTCTCCTAAATGAATACATGAAAAAAAATCTTTTGCATTATGGTTTCCACGTTGGTTTTGTCATTTAAGGGCGGACTGGTTGTCACAAAGGCTACACACAAATTTTAGTGGTTATTTTCTCAAAAATATACCAGCAGTGACAAATATTACCTCAAAAAGGTTTTGTCCAAAAGCACGAGTTCTGTCATTCACTGTCTCATGGAAACTGCCCTCAGTTTATTATTTAACTATTTCTGACGCAAAAAACTGTGCGTCAGGTCCTACGGTATGTCTTGTCTAGACATACCTCATCTCCCCTAAAGGTGGCAGCGGAGGGTCGAGGGAACACTTCACCGCCTGACATCTGGACCTTGGGCAGGAAGCTGGACTGTCCATATGGGATTACATTTTCATCTGCAGATGACAAACAAATCATTCGAAGTTACAGCTGTATTTATATAGGTTAAATCCTAAGTGATAAAGCAGACTGGAAATAGACCCCCTGCTACTAAAAGCAGAGCCACTGTGAGATCATTTGAGTCGCACACTGATGGCAGTTGGTTCTTTCTAAGCTCAAGGGGATTAATGTGAAGCACCACAATAATATTAATACATGTCTTTTTTAGATCAAGCTGGTGAATTGTGAGGAATTGCTCTTTTTTCTGTTTTAGGCTGTGGATAGTTATTGAATGATGTGACAGAGACTCGCATGTCGTACTTACCCTGCGATGAACAATTTGTCGGTCCTCTTCTTTGCGGTGAGAATTGTTCTCCCCTCCTCTGAAGAGTAGGTGAGTCGCTGGCCCCTTTTCTTTCCGTGTCCGTTCGTCCGCGGCTCAAAACCTCTGCCAAGAGCTGCAGCGAGTCATCTGTAGGGGGCAGGGCCGGGGGAGGGGGGAGTTCTGCATATGATTGATTATTGATGATTAACAATTCACTGAGAGAAAAACATCACTTTAAAATAATAGTTTTCATGCTTATTCGCTATATTGCTGTGAGTTAGATGAGAAGATCAATACCAGTCTCCAGCCAGCACATTGATTATGAAGCTACAGCAAGCAGCTGGTTAGATTGGCTTTACATTAGCACTAGAAACAATGGACCGCAATGGAAGATGCCTTTCCACTCCAGAAATAAAGCCAAAATATCCAGCATACAAATACTGCCATCTTGTGCATCTGGAGCCAGAGTCTGCACACTAGCAATTGGGTGAACGTTTTTGTAGCACCAGGAACCGTCTTTGACAAAATTTTATTTCAAATACTTTGACTTTTAAGTTTAGTCCATGTCCCATCCACTAACATAAAGGGTGGCAGCAGGCGGCAACAAGGGGGCAATTGAGACACTTTGGCTTCACTTTTGGAGAGCTGTCATGTTGTCCATCTATATCCAGTCTATTATCGCAAGGGGAGACCTCAGTACAAAGTGAACATAGTCTAATAGTTACTGTGATATTTTAGACATTACCAAAATGGTGGACTACTGCACTGAGCTGCTGTCTTATCATACTATTTTTTTCTTTACCCTTAAAACAAGTTAGATGAGTTACAAACACTGTGTCAAACCTGTGTGGCTGTGTAGCTCTCGCTTGAGTTGTCCTTCCTTGGGCGTTTTCTTCTTACTCCTGGATCTGTGCGTCTGGGCTCCAGGACACGACTCGGCAGCTGCAGCAGGAGATGGTCCTGACAAGAAAGCACACTGATGTCATCCTCGGGGAAAGGAGGAACACTGAGCTGCACTTTAAAAGAAATGCGACATGATTTTCCTGTACAAATACTTTCTGTTAGGTAACATCATAAACTAAATTAAACATGACACTACGTGGTTGTCATGGGAAGTCATTTCCAAAGATGTGAGGCTTAAAATTGTTTTCAAAATTACTTTTGCTGTTGCTCTCCCCTTTGAAATTGTCTGCCCATTGGTTGGTGTGGTACAACTCGCTGACGTCCCGGGCCTTGTTGGTAAATAGATCTGGGTTGGACTGGGACACCTGGGAACCCAAGTGTTGGCGGGTCAAGAGGTCGAAGCTGTGCAGTCGCGGACTGTTGCTGGGCTTGTGTGTGTCTCGCTGAGGAAAGGCCATCAATGTCGCTGCGTAAGACAGATCGTCTGTTTTTGAAGGCAGGCTGGAGATTTCCTCCCTGGAAGCGTCCATCAGGTAGGTTCTGGCAGGCAACGGAGGACACCAGTCTTCGTCCTCCTCCTCAGAGCTAAAGGATTGACAATGAATGACAGCGGCATGAGCCATGTCTCTGAGGGAAACGCTGAGCAAGTAAACTTACTGCAACCTATAACATTTGCAATACCCCAACTAGGTTTAAATTATTACACTAGAGACATTTCAAATCTTGAATAATATGAGTCTTAAGCCATGGGAACAGCTCTGTGAGGCTGTATTTCAGCACTGTGCTTTCAGCTTACATCTCTAACTGCTAACATCAACCTGCTAACACGATCACACACAGGACATGCTATCGCTAATGTGCGATTAACACAGTACAGCTTGATCACATCACATCACAACGTATCGGGCAAATTAACTTTCTGACCTGATGATGGTTTTGTTTGAGGAGTTTGAGGGGAATGTGAATGTGCATGAGAAGAAAATGCCATGGATATTCATCCAATTAACCAACGAATGTTAAAGAAAAGGTCAGAAGATCACAGTCACTAATGAATTCTCAAGAGAATTTAAACATCAGAACAAAATAAAGCATTTCATGGTGGACAGATGAATCCCTCTGCCATCCATATTATTTAATAGAATAAATAACCTATGAAAAAGAGAACCACTGCAGAGTTACAGAGGAAGAGAACCATCTCTGCCCGTCACTTCAGTGGTGTCAGGTCTAATTTAATGATGGACATGTCATTAAAACTGGAAAGTACTAATTCAGACTGTCAGATCATGGCTAATGTCATTACAAAAGACACGGCACGGTCAGAACAGCCCCTCCAACCCACCCAGTTATGAACACAATCTAATCTGTCATAACCAGTTAGAGTAGATGCTCCCCTCCATAGCCCCCGAGCACAGTCGCCTCACTGCCTCAAGACACAATGTTGTTAATTCGAAAACTCACCAGACTCCAAACTTCACTCGAGTTTTGTTTGACAGCTGTGGCAGAGTTACAGGGCAGGTTTGATATCCATCTTCCTTAACTCTCTTTGTCATGTAGGTGAAGTCAGAAGCCTTGGTGCTAATAATGACTGAGTGAATATAGCCAGAACAAAAAGCACTTCACATGGAACCTCACCTGTGTTGCCCGTCTCCTTTGTCTGTCTTTCTGCGACCCATGTCTTTGTTGGGAGGGAGAGGAAGCGACAAAACATCCACCCAGGTGAGAGGAGCTGGCTTGGATGAGGATCCAGTCGACTTCTGCTTTGCCAGTTTGTCTACAAAGACAAAGAAGAGTGGGTCTGTGTACAAGTGTCATCACTTTGTCTTTAGTGTCTCCACCTTGAGCTTGAAACCACTGGATTTTAAATGATGAATAAGCTCAATTTAAAGGTGCTGCATGTAAGTTCTCTCTGCAGTGGTTTCTTAACAGGAGTGAGACGTGGTCGCTTGCCAAGGGAACCATTGTTGACCTAATAAGAAAAAAGATTGGAACACACCCTCTGAGCGACACTATTTCTTCAGGGTCTACCAGACGCTATCGTAAAAAGACAGGCTGCTCCTGCTGTACTTTATTTTTAGTCTAAACCTCGACATACTGTGTATTGCAGGCGATGCACGATAGGGATTCACTACTACACTGGGAAGCTGACATGTCATCCATCTCTATTTAGTCTGTGATTTTCATAAGCATCTTCCCTGTATTATGAAATTGAAACATATCATAGAGGGAGAAAACACTCACCGTTGCTTTTCTTGGTGTACTGGAGCTTAGCATATTCAGACCCAGACTGTCCAGACTGGATGGTCCACTGGTCCAGGTCCTGCCCCAGACCCACGAGTCCACTGTTTGACAGCACCGGGTTGCTGCTGTATGGGTCTGGACCCTGGATGTAGGATGTGCTGGAGTAGGTGTCATAATAGGCCAGCAGGTCATCCTCAGCAGCTGTGTTGATGGTGCTGTAGATGGGACTGTCGTTGGACGCTGTGCTGAGTTTCTCTGACTGGGTCGGGTAGTTTGTGATACCAACTGCTGAACAACAAAGGACTGTGTTACATTAGTTATGATCATCTATTAAGTGTTCTTAAATCTGCTCCTACACCCAAAAAATACAGTCTGGGGAGTTCTTACTGTTATAATATCTATCTGAGTCCAGTTTGCCAGAGCAGCAGTTCACAGAGTCTTTGCTGTTGTGAGTGAGGTTCGGAGTCGGCCAAGAGTCGGCCAGCCAGGGGTAGTTACCCATGTTTGATCCCAGCAAGCCAGGCCTGGAATGAGAAATGAGATGTATGTATATTTATTTTTTACATTTAACACACAGTCGTAAATTTTGTCTCTATCAAATCATAATCTTCGGTTTACCCTCCGTTTATGATTCCGGATCCTTCACTGTGAGCAAAGCCAACTGGAAGAAGTAAATATAATTTAGTCATAAATCATGTCTTACAGCAGGAAATAATAAAAAGTTCTTCTCAACGCTGTTTTATCAGGATTCTCTGATAAATACATCTTGTATCGAATAACGCTCCTTTCCAAATTAACAGGTTATCCCACAGAAGAGTGCAGATTCTAATCAATATTACACAATGTGCCTGCAATACATAAAAATGCAGATGATTAAATGTGTTGTTTCTGTGCTTTTACTATTGTATCTACAGATCAATAACATTTATATTATGGTGATAATAGAATCCATACTACAATTTGAAATAATACAGTCAATGGTATGGCATCAAATATATGAAATATTCATGGGAAAATCTAATTTCGCATGTGTTTCTTAAGGCACATTTAGTATTTCTGACCATGAATAATTCATCTCTTAAAGACAGAAAACAGGTGATGTGTTTATGTGCCAGAGAACATATTTTAGATTAAACTGTATACAGTTGCTACTGGTTACATATGCTTCAGTGCGATATCAGTGTTTTCCTTCCTTCCTGCCATGAAAACTGCCCTGTGGGGATAAATTCATTTTAATTAACCGAATAAGTGATGAAAGTGCAGCCACTGCTTTGCAAAATACTAAAATTATAATACATTCACTGCTGCAGAAATCCCCAGTGGTCTATGAGGATGTTTGTCCCTGTCACTAGTTGAAAATAAATTCTGATGGCTCACTCTACAACAGCTGAAGACAAACTTCTCTCTTTTAAGAAGGAAGGTCTCTGAAGGTCATATCATTTCAATCTTTAATACTTTCTTTTACAGAACATTCTTAAAGGAGCAGTCCTGATACGACAGATCTAAAAAGTCACATTTCAGAAATTCAACTTTGGAAAAACTTTCCATTCAAAGTCAAAGCTTTTTCCCCCCACTCACCTGCTGGTGTGTATGCGAAGGATGTGGTGTAGTGTCCCAGCTGCTTCCTCCTGCGGTGGCGACAGTACAGCCAACCACTGAAGCCCGTCAGCGCCAACCACGCAGCCACGCCCAGTCCTGCGATGAAGGCCGGCTGGCGCACTACGCTTGTGATCTGCTCTGATATGGTGAGACTACCATCTTTCTTCACAGACGTTGAAGTCTTGTCCAGTGGGACAGCTGGAAGAAAGATTGACAAGTGATTGCAGCCAAATGGTACCAAGTGTTTCTATGCCATCTATGCCATGAGATGAGATAAGAATTGCAGGGAGTATTTGAAAGTAGAAAAGCAACTTTATGTACCTTTATACAGCTATGTTTTATTTATATAATGAAAATGCCTTTGTCTTTTACCTGGAGCTCTGCCTTAGTGCTCTGTCTGAACAAGGAGACATACTTTTTCTCGGCTGGGAGTCTTGTCACCACAAACCAGTGGATAACCCCCCTTAAAACCACAAATTATAGTTTTACATTTTGGTTTCTGTGCGGACAACAAATAATAGCTTAAGAGCATTAGAGGGGCTTTATTTTGTTTCCTTTAGACAGAGCCAGGCTAACTGCCCCCCCTTGTCTCCAGACTTAATGCTAAGCTAAGCTAATTGGTGGCTAGATTTAGCTAGACATGGGAGTGATATTAAGCTCTCCATGTAAAAAAAGCGTATTTCCCAAAATGTAAAAATATGATCTGATCATCCTGCCTTCAAATGCTATTTGTTATCAATCTGAATCCTCGGTTAACACATCCCCACACTCACAATATTATGCTGACGACACCTCGGTTGTAAACGCATTCACGCAATCGACATTCACAAGCAGGTTCTATCCGTGAGATCACATCTGTGTAGTAGCTGCAACAGTTTCAGTGACTCACTGAGAAGCAGGCTGACAGGCGGGCTTTGAGCGCCCACACCCAGGCTGGTGACAGCAGCCACCGTGACAGAGTAGCGGACGCCAGGCAGCAGGCCCGTCAGCAGGATGGACAGAACAGCTCCATCCACAGTTCGGTTGATCTGGTTCTCCTCATCCACTCCACTGCCCAGACACCAGACCTAATTGAGACCAGATATAAAGGGTTTAATGAGAGGTAAACCCATAAAGACGTGTATCCTGCACACCCTCTGATCAGATTTGGTCTGTTCTTATAGACTGGGTGCTTTTCAATTCTTTGGCATTGAAGCTTCATCTGGTAGAACACGTCTGCAGCAAACAACAGAGATGAAGGCGAAAGGGATGTCAATGCAATGACAGCTTAAAGCCAGATTTAAAATCCTGATGTTGCATATATACAGTTTCGTGCCTTTAGGCATCACAGCTTCTGTGTTTCTCCCATGAATGTTCATGCATGTTGGATTTAACTCCGCACAGGAGCAAAAACATTCAGATTTCTAAAGTATACTGTGAATTAATTTGTAACATTTTACACACATCAAAACATCCTTGGTAATTAATATTCATATGATGTCAAAAATATTGCTCATAATTTGTTTACAGAGCTGAAAGTCATGTATTTAAACTTGGAAATAATCAGCTCATTTATTTGTTTACTTGATAAATATATTAAAAGATCTGTGCCATCAATTATGGAGTAGATCATGCAGTGCAACAGATATATAAGATATATTCAAGGTGGAGTTAAATTTAACTTATCTGTATATTTGATGAGTCAGTCAAAAAAAATGAATCTGTCAAATTTAATAAAATGGATAAATCTTTTGTTTTGGAATTTTGTATCAACAAAGCTACTTTAGTTGTGAATATAAGGGTGCGTGTAAAAAGTTGAGCATTTCACTTTAAAATACAGCGTATGGGAGAAGAAGAAAATGGTATAATATCTCAGTATTTTAGTCCATTCCTGAGTAAATTAGTTTCTTTTCAGCAGTGGTACAATTTACAGTGAGTAAACTTTTGGAATTAATCTTTTGTGAAGTTTTTTATTTGATCAAAAACAGTGAGCTGCATTTATCCGGTAATACGTGTAATACTTCAACTTTTCACATGTAAGCCTCTGAATGCTTGCACAAAATACTGTGTGCAGTTCTCAGCAAATTGAATGTTTAAGTGGATTAAGTGTGATCCTCGCCTTCGGCTGACAAGCCGCCACGTACAAGAGGATCTGGATTTTTCGTGATCAGACTTGTGCTGTTTTGTTGTAACCTTAAACATGCAGACACAGATGGGAAGAATAAATCAAAACAATAGAGCTGCATGTTCCATTTCAGTGTGTTTTCTTCCTGAGCATAGCAGCCTGATGATTAGTAATCAGTGTTGTGCTTTTGCTAAGAGACAGATAATCAGAGCGGAGTGTTTTTTTCACAGATGACAGGGACAGTCAGTGTTCAGCTGAAACTCTGATGACAACATTCAGTTACTTTTAGTGGCGGCAGCACATGTACTGGCAGCCGATGAGAGCTAATGAGTAATTATGGAATGTTAATAAAAAAACATTGTTCATCAAGTATGAAAACAACTTATTTGAACAGCGCTGGGTAATGACTGTGCCAAAATACAAAGATTGTGGATTAAAAGGGCAATTTGTTCCATTTAATTTTTCCAGCTGCATGACTGGTTTTAAAGGAAGAAATAAACACCAGATAAGAAAGCAGACAGCCAGGTGTAGTCTCGGGTGTAGTCATGCCGATAGCTATAATCTCACCTTGTACTCCCGAATGATACCACTCTGAATATTATGAGGTGGAGGCTCCCAGGATACACTGATACTGGAGCTGTTAGTGAGCTGCACCACTGATACACCCGGTGGAGGAGCACTTAAAACTGCAGACAGAGAAGGAAGAAGAAGTTATTTGCATTATTACTAGATATGAAGTGTTATGATGATTCTATACAGGTTCATAATTTCCAAATGTATTTCCAGGATAAATTATGGGATTTGGTACTTAATTTAAGGAAAATGAAAGAAGTTCATTGTGATTTTAAAGGCTTTAATTCCGTCGCAATGATAAAAATGCTCCAAAGAAATAGTTTGTTAATATTTCTCTTAAATTAAAAGTTTTTATGTATGTAATTTAGTTTGTTAAAAGATTAGCAGTAGTAGAAGTTGCAAAATGTGTTTGTTAATAGTGAATAGTGAATCCTATATGTTTTCCCCTGTGGTCTATGGAAATGTATTTTTGTTGACATCTTAAAGATGATGAAATGTTAGGTCGAGTTCTTAATTCCCAAAGGATTATTTTTGTAAGCTATCTGTAAAGTAGCTAATAAATATTTCTTACCCTCCTCGGGTGTACGCAGCAGAACCATGAGGCTGTCATGTCCCTGTAGCTCATTGAAGTAAGGTCGTATCTTGACCTCATACTCAGAGCTGCTCTGTAGATCTACTAAGATGGCGCTGTTGTCAGAGGTGGCCTCCACATCCTGGACCAACCAGGAGTTGCCGATAGTGCGGTAAAATATTCGGTAACCCTGAACATACCGAGACTGACGGGCGACCTGATAAATGTTGGCAAGAAACAAAGAACATACACATTTCACATTCACGTCAGTAATCCCACCGTACTTTGCACCTCAAGTTAATCTGTTTGTGTCAAGTCATGTTTGGAGGAGTTTATTGAAGTTAATGTTTGGAGATTAGTGTACCCTCCACACACTGCGGGCCAACTTTGAAAAGTAGACTTTCCATCAGCCAAGTATTCAACTTACAGTCCAAGAAATCCTGGTGCTGGAAGGAGAGAGAACCACAGGCTTCTGCAGGTAGACAGACACCTCCCCTAAATCTCTCTGCACCTGTCTGTGGTCCACGCCCTGCTCTGTGGGACTCCCATCTGAAACAACAAAGAAATCCACTCTGCAGTCAAGGCAAACAATACAGCTGAATTTAAACTTTTCAGGTAAAAGAAAAGAAAGAAAGCATTCTGGTGAGGTGGTCAGCGTAGAGGAGTATCACTCCGAGAAAGCAATACATTTTAAGACTACACAGGGAAAGCAGTAAGTTTAATTTCCCTTTTTAAAAAGACTGCACGGTCTGATTCATATTGTCCAAAAACTCTGTAACTCACCTTGTGTCCTGACAGGCTCAGATATCGGGCTGGGGTCACTTAGGCCATACGAGTTGACAGCTCGGACAATGAAGAGATAAACCGTGTTGGGGAAGAGTCCGACCACTGTGTGCCTCTCCTGCCTCACATGGTCCGCTACCGTTTGCCAGGTGCTGCCCACTGATTGGCTGCAGAGGGAAAAAGTGACATTTTACCCAAGGACACATGAAAATATTTCACTACTTCCACCAAGGAGGTTATGTTTTCACTCCTGTTCATTTGTATCTTTATTTGTTGGTTGGTTAAATGCAAAAACTACTGGACGGATTTCCATGGAAATTGATGAACGTATGGGACATGGGCCAAGAAAGAAGCCAAATATATTTAGTTTCGACAGAGATAACGTCATCGATGTTTCACAAATTTCCCAGGGAAAAATCGACGCCATATTTAGGGGGTGAATGTGTTCAATTTGGTCCGTATCCAAATCAAATCTTGTGAATTTAAATGTGGTCTCATTAGGGATCTGCGTGGGCTTGGCATAGCTACGTGCTTTACTGGTGCCATTGATATCAGTCTTTCCTTTTGATTTTAATACATTCATTTCATCATGATGAGGGTGGTGTCACACTTGAAGGTTAAGATATTTATCCAGATGGTGTTTCTTGTCTTGGAAAGTACATCAGACCTACAGTTGGCAGGCAGGCTATAAGTGCTGTCTCAATAGTCAAATGTGCTGCCCTCTGTGTGAACATTCATTCCCCACTCCTGTTATCTTGACAGCTTCATTATCGTGTAACTTAGAGATAACAAGGTAATGGGTTTGATCACAACTCTTTGCCCACTGCTGATAAACTGATAACACAGATGGATGAAAGTGGAACAAGCAATGTCGGAACTTTACAGACGACAGAAACGAAAGGAATGTTGGAAAAACCTGGGACACATCTGTGAAAAAGTCCTTGGCGTTGAGAGAGAGGATTAGAGTCTAAAAACAAAGCGATTGTTTGAAAGGATATACGAGGCATGTGTCATAAGCACACATCAACAGCATTTGTGTAATTACCCTGAAACTTTCTGCACTGAGGTTTATTTTCTCAGTTAATTGTTGTCTGTAAGAAATGGGAGAAAATGCCCATCATAATTTCCCACAGCACAAGGTGACATTTCACCGTGCTTGAATCACGAGTAAGGAATAACAGCTGTGTTAGCTGTGTCACCCTGCATGTCCTCCCTCCTCACTTCCCCCGCTGATCTGCACTCACTTTCCAAGTTAACAATAAACACTAATTAGAAGTTATTTGGATCTGAACATTACTGAAGTTTACTTTGTGTTTGTTGCGCATATTTTAACGGATTGAATACAAGTCTAACATTTTGCATGCATGCAATCTGGATTTGATATCCGATATCACTGATTAATAACCAAATGCATGCGATTGCCAGTTTGTGTGAAGCACAATAGGGATGAGGAGACACCTCATTGATTTGAAGTCATATCGCCCAGCCCTACTTTGATTTTGCTTGACTGAGCTATGCTATTGTCTTGTTTTGTGGAGCCAGAGATAACAGATGTAATTTCTATATCCTAAATGAGACACTAGCCAGCTACTGGTTAGCTAAGCATAGACAGAAAGCAATGAGAAACAGCTAGCCTAGCTCTGCATCCTAATCTGCCTTCAACCTCACTAACTCACATTATAACTTGTTTGATTCAAATCTTAAGAGTAAAACATTTAATTTGACATTTCCCTCTGTCTCTACCCTGCATCCCCAGAGTGCATCTTCAAATCTAACAGCAGATATAGATTTTCTCATCTAATTTTCAGCAAGAGATTGAACAAAAAATATCAAACAACATTCAAGATTACGAAACAAACACTGTCTCTTAGCAGTCACGATTAAACGAATGAATAAATATATGCTGCTTGTTCGTTGTGCATCTTAAAACGGCTGGCCCGTCCTAGTTTGTGGACATAAACAATGACAAATTTTATTCCTTCTTTTTACTGCAAACGACTGCTTCCGAACGAGTCCAGCGAGGATACAACAGCCTGATGCCGAGCAGGAGCGAGGGCCATCAAACACCGAGAGCACGATTAAACATTTTCCTAAACTCCGTGGAGGAGAAAATGGCGAGGTAATTACAGCATTTTTCTATCATCAATGTTTTCTCCCTCACAAACTCCCTCCCCAAATGTTCTTCAGAGAAACACTTTTGCCATTTAAATAGATTCATCCTGCTTTTTTAAAAGCTTCAAATGGGTTCGGAGTGGAAGCCACAGTGATTCCTTTAGCATTAAATCCTCCATTATGATTTATTTTAAATCAAAACAGACATAAGTATTATGATGTACCATATACAAGAGAGGATACTATAACAGGGCAAATATCGGTTTGAACTTTCTGTCTTTGTTGATGCTGATGCCTGAAAACAGATATTTGCAAGCAATTTGTTGGTGGTGGAGCGTGCAACTGCGAGTGGATCTTAGTCATCGGCTGTGCGTGTAAGCCTCCAGCTCTGAGCTTTCTCTCCACACAGAGCCAGAACTTTTGTGTATATGTGTCTCTACACTTGCTCTGTACCCTCTCTCCTGCTTCTGTAATTAGTGAACTCTCCAACTGGATTGCTCCCCTCCTTCCATTGCCCCAGGACAGGACAGAGCTGACCACTGCAGTAATTGTCTTCTCTTTCCCTCGCTGTCAGTCTCACTGAGGCCTCTGGTTGGTTGTTAGAGCTGCTGTGGCTCTCCTCGGGATGCCACAGCTAAATACTGATGCAGCGGGTGTTGCTGTTTCACTTCAGGACATCATTTAACAGAGCTGTTTCTCCCTCAGGCGCAGATGAGTCATTTCCAAACTAATGACTCTAAATGAAGAAGACTTCATTATCAGGGAAGAGCCTGAATACTAACAAATGGAAACAGAGTGTGGACACAGACAGTGAGAGGGTGGAGAGTTAAGTAGAGGCTGTCTGTGCTGATTTTCATTTTTTAGAAATACCAAAAAAGTAGATTCATAATATTGATGTGTATGTTGTTAGCAATTTGTAGGAAGTTGAGGGGCCACGCCCCTTTCCCCATGAGAGAGAGTGCTGTGTGTGCAGATGAAGAATTTGTGTGAGGGTTCTCTAGTGAATGCTGATAAATAAATTGAGGGATCTGCAGTTTATTTATAAGAGTTGAAAGTGAACGGCATTGAAAAGAACAGAAGGACGGCACTCTCTCCCTCGCTCTCTCCGTCACAAACACACTGACCATCTGTCACAGTCACATTGACCATCAGCAGCAGTGTGAGAAGAATTAAAATACCATGATTTTACTGTCTTCAGCAGGCAGGTATGATTCAGCATAAACTCTCTTTCACTGTGCATGTTCACGCAACCAGCACTGGTACTTTTCTCTACTTCATGGGTGTCATCCCCACAGCCCATCAAAGCAGAACACATCTGGAGCTACACTCCCAAGTAATATTCTCAAGTATGGTGAAATCTGTCCGTGTTTAGTTATTTTACAAATGCACACAGCGGAAAACATTACTGTGCATGCAGGACAATGAAGCACAGATGAGAGCCCTTTAGAACCAACAAAGAATTCTCCCAGTTTAAATGAAGTCATGATGATGATGAAGATTAAAGTTCCCTAGGTTTCCTGCACCTCATGCAGGTGAGACCATCCCTCTAAAATGTAACAAATGGCCCACTGTGTGTATGTCTGTCATACCTGAAAGCTTCGATCACGTAGGAGGTGACAGCGGCCCCGCCTTCATGAGGGTTGGACTGCCAGGTGAGGGTGACAGTGTTTTTGGTCACCTCTGTCACGACAGGCTTCTGTGGAGGTCCTGGAAGCTGGATGAACTCAGAAACTCTGGATACTGAAGAAAATCCATCTTCTGCTCCACAGACAGGAAAACAGAACTGTTAGAATTCAACAATGGACCAGCGTGAACCTGGGAATGGATTTTGTTTTGTGATGGTTACAGAATGTGATCTTAGAGTGTGAAATGTAAGAGAGAGACAGAGTTTGGAGTGTTTTAGTTTCCGTACCTCTGATAGTCAACATCCCACTCCAGCTCGTCTCCCCCGTGACGCTGGATACTACGCACATGTACGACCCGGAGTCTGTGTCCTGCAGACAACATTTGGGAGTTTACATTATTCAGGGATGTTTTGTGTAGATGACTGAAAAGAATTTTAAGGTCAAGAATGTCTTGAGAAAAATCCGTTTTTACTGACTATCGATTTGTGTGGCCAAGTCTAAGTAGTGTCTCTAAACACAATTCTGAAGTAGTCTATTACACCTCAGAAATGATCTGAAAGCTATAATCACAAGATAAATGTGGAAGAATATTAAATAAACTTTTAGAATACATGTTCAAATGATATCTAAATGCAGGAATCACTGAAGATGCACTATTTGTCTTTTTGCACAAATTAATGGGGGATAAGAGCTAAATTCAAAGCCAAAATTAATTAATTTATTCCCATTTATTGCTGAAAATTTAATTTCCCTATGTTGACGTGTTTGTGTGCCTGAAGACAAATTTCACATTTTGCATACACAGCTGACCTGTTGCACAAGTATATTAATAAACAAATGAATCACTGTAATTTCCCTACAATTGCTGGGTAAATACATATTTCCCAAAGACGTCTTGGGATGAATTACTCTATATTATAGAAACGCTTAATAGTGGTGAGAGTCAGGTGATAACTCTCTGTGAGTTTGACCTTGTGACCGACAACCTTTACATACACAGTGATTTTTTCCATTCTTGATACAAAAATATTCAGTATAGCAGCTTTAAGCAAATGTTTTTTTTACCATCATTCTTAAAAATAAAAGAATTCATCATATCAGCCCCTGCAGCTCTAAAAGCTTCCCTTCAACAAACCAAAGGAAACTGCACCACACACTCCTGTTTATAATATGAAGCGTATACGCCTGCATGCTTCACTGACACTCGTGGTGCACAGCCTTGTCCTGGATAAGAGCCAGTTTGCTAGAGCTATCATCAGACCATATGAGATCATCCGCCGCAGTGTTGACCTCTGGCTGACAGACAGCAGCGCAGTGCGCGTGGACAGGTGAATTTCCTTAAATGACTCCAACGACTGCTCAAATATTGATGGCGGTTTAGGGGCGTCAGCAGGGTAAATATTTTTAGTCCCTCACTCGTCATCTCCATTTCCCTGCCCCCCCCCCCACCCCTTGTCATCCCCTTGATGCCACACTAATGCATGTCTTCTGTTCCATTGAGCACATTGGCATGGCAGATTTCCCTTGCCTCAGTGGTGCACTGGACCAAATCCTAATGCTTCCAAGTTTTCTGTGAACCACTGCTGAGAAAGAGGACGAGAGAGGAGCAAAGTCCAGGAAGGTTATTGGATTAAATTCCTACAAACTAATTATCATCTATCACCCGTCAATTAACGGAAAAACAATGCAACTTTTACGCCACCCTGCTTGCACTCGTTGACCTCCAGGTGGGGTTACAGCACAAAGGGGCTGCTGACTGCTCTTCCATCAAAGCAGAACACATTAGCATTTACAAACAAGCACCTTCATTAACATTACAATTACACAGCATATGAGCACATAATTCTGCTGGAGAGACGTGCACTGCCTTGGAAAGATCGGTCTTTGAAACCAAAACTGAATATATAATGGAAATGTGAAAAAAATATGTTGCCATGTGGGCTGTGGAGAAAGTAATAGGAGGTCAGAGTAATTGTTTACACTGTTCTCTACTGTTTTTCTCTATCAGTCACACAATCTGTTTTTCAAAGCAAACACTTTTGAAAGCATCTTCTTTATATTCCTCTTTCAATAAGAGGAACACACACCCACACACACCCACACACACACACACACACACACACACCTTTATGTCTGCGATTTGCAAAGTGCCATTCTCCATCAAGGTCAGTCTTGGTTTATTTCCCTGAAGTCTCTCTCCATCTTTCTCCCATGAAATCTTGACTGAAGGTCCTCCTATTACACGGCAGTGCAGCTGCGCCGTCGCACCCCGAGATACGGTCTGATTGGCCGGACCTTGGCGAATGATCGGTGGTACACGACCTGAAGGGCCTGGAGGTTAGAGGGGAGTGAAAGCATATGTGAGGCGCGTCATCTCTCTTCTGACTGGCAAAGAAAATTGAAGAAAAATATGTTTTGAATGGTGGAGAGTGCAAAAGGTGAAAATATTTAGATGTTCAGTAGGCAGAATAAAGTAGGTTGCATGAAAAGCAAAACCAAAAAGCTCAAATCACACGCTTACATGCTGCTGCTGCAAAAAATCCTTGTTCATCCTAAATGGGGTCTCTAATTGCGTTCTTTTTTTAGACTTCATGAGCCTTATTGCTGAACACCTACTAAGAAATTCATGTTTTCCCCTCATTAGTTGATGGAACAGAATAAAGACTAATTCTTCCCCAGGTTGAAACATGACTGTGTAGACTCACCTCCTTCCACCTCCAGCAGGGCCTTGGTCAGCACACTTCCTGCGACACTGATGGCCTGGCAGATGTAGAAACCAGAGTCCTCGGGGTGGACGTCAGTGATGGTCAGCTCTCCGCTCATGGACACAGAGTAACGACCAGACTGTGACGGCGGCTGACCAGGGAACAACAACATCTAAACGCACAAACACAACATATCATATGACATCAACAACCAACGTACCTGTTGCAATATTTGTTTTGATCACAATTAATCTGGTAATTATCTTAAATTATTCAGTTAAACAATTTAGTCCATAAAATATCTCTAAAATAATAGGAGTATTTCATTCTAAAATTAATAATTAATAAGTATATCTTTTATTCAATAATAAGTCTATAAAATTGCAGAAGATGAAAGCAACATATGTTTTTACTTGATTGACCTTTAATCATTCATCAAAGTTGGTTTTGACTAATTTGCCTGTTATCAAGGTAGAAAAACTATAAACTGAAACGTGAATGTGAACCAAGTTTCATGACCCATCCAGCAGTTGTCAAGACATTTCACTCAAAACCTGAAAATATCAACCTTCCCACCATCATCATCAACTGGGAACTATTACTGTTTATCCCAAAATGTGCCAATTCACTCAGTGGTTGTTGAGAGGTTTCAGTGTGGACCTGAGTAGACTGACAGACCAACACTGCTCTTATAGCAACAACTCAGGTCAAAACTGGGAGGGACGGGTTGTTTTGGTCTTTTTAGGATGATGCCCACTCTCACAAAGCTTTCCCATTCTGTTTTTCTGTAAGCGAGATGGATGTGAACTTGGGGGAAGGGATGCACATCAATCCATTCAGCCATCCATTTCATTCCTCTAAGAGGCTTAGACGTCGGTGGAGGGACCAAGGTTATAGGGCTGCACATAATCCGACAAATACAGCAAAAAGCTCCGCAAACAGCCAAGGAACTCCTCCACCCTCCTGCAGACCGAAGCTTATTCACAAAATCTGCAGCTGAACTTCCTGTTTTCTCGTCGACAAGCTCCTAAAAACATCTGAAGCTGCTCCTCCGACTCAGTGATCCCAGCTGCTGTTGCGCAACAGAGTATTTATAGTTGGGTACAATATGGAAGAGGACGGCATTTGTCTGCGGATTTGCCCTAAAGACGCAGTTTCTACACCTGGTGTACTTCCTGCCACCCCTCCCTCCCTCCCTCCTCTCTACTTCTGCCATTCTCTTACACTCCAGGCGCAAGCAGGAGAAACATTTCTCGCCAACGCATTATCGCAATGCCTTCCAACACTTTGTATCTACTCAAATCTTTGAGCCAAATGCAAATGTGATGCACTCTTTTGTTCATGTCTCGTCGGTTTCACTGGTAAAAAAAAATGTGTGTTGAAGAGTGTGGGCCACACGAACCCAGCATCCGAAAAAACAGTATGATTAAATCACAGAAAACTGCTAATGTTGCAGTGAATCATTCTCACCTTTAAAATAAAGGTGTGAAGACTCTGCTTATTGATATGACAAAAATACATTATTACGATTTTTAAAAAATCCCTATAAGCTCAGATAAGAAAACATTTACGACTTGTTAGGAGCACATTTATTTATATGGACTCTGGCTGTGATTCCTGAAGACAAGTGTATTGTGCTGGAAGTCTCTGCTGCTGCAGTATTCAACCATTAGAGAATGTATTGTTCTCCGCAACAGTCGCTTACCTGGCTGCCCTCTTTCTGCCAGAAGATGGCAGGTGGAGGGTTTCCTGTGGTGCCACATTGAAAGGTGACGCTCATCCCCTGGGTGGTAATCTGGTCTCGGGGCTTCGCGGCAATCTGAGGTGGAACTGGAAGAGGATAAGAAGTGTCACTACTCACCACCCAGTCAAAGAATGAAAACTCTGTCAAATGTGTAATCAACTCCTTTAGGTTTAAGAAGGAATTTCCTTTACTTAAGTAAAATTACCAGTACAACAACAGAAAAATACTCCATTATTATATATTATTATAGAAGTCCTGCATTTAACGTCCTACTCAAGTACAATGAGCAAAATGTCCTTAAAGTATCAGGGACTCTGATAGTAAAAGGACTCTGTAAAAAATATAGGCCACATAGACTGCTCATAGATTATTGATGCACTAGTGTTAGTAATGGCCAAGTGGTTCCCAAAATAGGGGATGTTTTGGAGGGGTCTCTCCAAAAGACCACAAGGTAAACTTCAAGGGGTCTTGAGATGATAACTTTCACAGATCAATTATTATCTTTTCTCAGGACTTGAATAGTAACTTACATTAAACCATGAGAGATGTTTATAGAGGAAAAAAAAAAAGCAACTCAGGTGCAAATTATGTTCACGGATATTTGATAAAAGTTTTATTCATGTTACGCAGCAAATGGCAATGAATAATGGTGATCCATTACGAGTCACAAATACAAACAGTATTGATATAGCCAATTGGCTAGCAGTGTGTTTTTCCTTCGTCATACGCTGGGAGTTATAGTAGAGATGAGCAACGCCAAAGGTAATGACAATATGATGAATTAGAAGACAACCAAAATAAAAAGGCTGTTTACCTTGAATAAAATTGCAGATTGCTCTGCAAGAACATTTTGAACATGTTGGAAATATTTTGGATAATGTAAGTACACAAGTCAACAAAATATAGTATAGGGTCTCGTGCTTTTAAGACATTTTAATGAAGAATTCTTACATATTATATCTTAAAGTACGAAACCTTCCTTAGTTACTGTCCACCACTGGTTTTGACCTTGCACTGAATAGATAAAGCATTCATCAGCTCCTAACAAGTGAGATTGAAGGGCCGTCTCTTTAACCTTCGGAGCGTTTTGATCCATCACTACCCTCTCATCGCACCTTTCATCTTTAATGAGGGAGAATCATCTCTGTATCCTCTGCAAAAACAAATCATGGCAGCAGAAGGTCTAATGACATTTACTCTGTTATTTCGGGAAAAGGTCTGAGCAGAGCCGGCACTTTCCAGTTCAGGTCAGGTCTCATCATCGGCAGATTTACATTGACCACTGCCTTCTACCTCCCGTCTCAATAATTAGCTCATGCTTCCCGTCAGATGAGGACCTACCCCAGCCGGGATTCATACTCACACCACACACACACGAGCATGCAAACACGTATTTGGCTCGATGCACAAGAGAACTGAGTCATCTGTGTCCAATCTTAATGCTCTCACTGCGTGTTCCCAAACACTGAAGATGTCTCACACTTTCATCAACATCAGAGTGTTCTGATGATGTTTTTGTGTATTTTGTTTACTTCATATCGCTGCAATTTCTTTAAACAAATCTGTTTGTGCCGTGTGATGTGTAATTCTCATACACTTATGTTCTAGCACTATGCTGAGACTGTGTCTTGCACTTGGCTCCTATTGGATACTTTAATTGTGCTTTTGTCATTTGTATTATATTTTAGATTATGTGATGTTTTCTGTATTGACAGGTGATCATTTAATATCAACATAGCCAGCTACATTTTTAAACATTTATCTCCCAACTGGAGACAAAATGATAAAAAATATGTCTGAAGTGAGAGGGATTATTATTCTCTGTGGACTTTGTGTCTGAGCTACTGGTTATCTGCTGTTTTCAATCAGATTATTATCAGATCATATTGTTCAACACTCTTATGTGAAGGGAGCTGCAGTCTCTTTGTCCGAGTCTTTGTCTTAGTCACTGTTATTGTAGATGTTATCACTTGTTCTATATTTAACAGCGAAGGAATGAAAACTGGGCCCCCGTATATGTGCAGCTTTAGTGAACCCCCAAAAAGGAGTCAGTCAGTCACTAATCCCATCAATCTGTGGTTGTTTAAGTGGTTTTATGACACAATTAAGAAATGTGCACATCTGAATTCTCTGCATATTTCATCCTCTCTTCTTAACTCACTGTAGTTACAAGTTCACTGAGATTTTAGAACATTACACAGCTAACTGTATTACCATTTTTCATGATAACAGATTACTCTTCTTTAATTTTCTGAATTAAGGCAAATTAGTTTCTAACAACACTAGTAGCTTAATAAAACTTCAGAATCCTAAAGGCACAATTCATTTATATATGAAATATATCAAAAAGATTATCTTAACTTCTCCTGCCATGCTCATTTTCTCTTCACTCTCTTTTCTGTCGGTGGGTTAGATTAGTTCAGCTCCTGCATTGCCAATTACTAATTTGCTTGAGTTCACTCTGAGCATAAAACTTCCTGACGAGTAATTTAAGTCACCTTTGGTAATAAATGAGTTTTCTCCTCCTACGAGGATTGATTTGAGGAGCAGGAAGAGAATGTCACCGTATGTTGCTCATAATGGTGGAACTGTAACTTACTGCTGTCAACACCTGATTTGGCAAAGACACAATAAATTCAAACTTGAATAGTCTAAGTTCCTGTTTGAATAAAAGTCCAATTTAAAGAAAATACAAACTGTAATGGTATTATTACAGTACAGTTAATACAAGACATGCAGCAGCAACTACTACTACTACTACTACTACTATTACGAGTAGTTGTACTGTTAGTTAAAGGGGCACTCCACCAATTTTAAACATAAATGATAGTACAGCTATAAATTATAGCAATCTGCCTCTAAACATTATGTCTTCTGTAGCTCTGGAGCTGTGAGATGCAGGGAAGAAAGTTGTGTGTAAAGAAAACTGTATGGAGTTGCATGATGGGAAATGAGAGCAATACTGAATCGACGGAGTGCTCCTTTAACAATAACACATATGAGTGTTCAACATGTAATATCTCGTGTATATATCCGTCAGAGTGGTTTACAGTGGTACTAACAGAAATGCCAGTTTAACCATACAACACTAGTTTAATGTTTAAATGGTCACTGATGTAACCTGGGGTCGAATCACCTCCTCATCCAGAAGTGAAGACTGAGTTGTGATTAAAAGTCACTTTAAACAACTGCAGCTGCACACAAGAGAGGGATTTACATGTTGTCACACCATCCTCACACACTCATTACAGACACGGCAGATGTGTCATGTGTGTTTGATAGGAGTCTTTAATCCGGTGTGCATTAAGTCACAATGTCTGAGGCTTACTTGATGCCTGACTGCAGCAACAGGCATGTAGACACACTAATATACAGTAATGGAGGAACTTATTTACATTATTGGGTAGTAGTTGTTTCAAAATCATTATGAATATCATACAAGAAGAAGAAAAAAAATGAAATTAAAACAACAAAGAATTAGATGGAGAGTGAACTTATGGAACCGGCCAACTGGAATGATGATAGGGTTTGAAACATGATGGAGAGAGATGGAAAATTAATGAGATGGATGAAACGTTGAGCTACAAAACAAAACCGGCAATAGCAAGGAAAAGAGAAAAAGAGGAAGAAGGAGAAACTGAGTGAATGAATAATGACACAGTTTGGATTTCATTTGCACTGATAAAAGCATTAGTGGATGAAGTCATCTGAGACAATTTAAACCAAGACACACACACACGTTGTGTAGTGAAAATGAAAAAAGGGAGAGAGCGAGGTGGAGAGAGGAGGGAGATAAAGAGACAGACAGAGAGAGAGAGAGTCATGTCTTATTAATACAGGGACTGCTCTCTGGCAGTGAGTTAAAGCACACATCTACCAAACATCTGTCAAATGGCATAATCCATACGGGTTAGTATAAGCTCCTGGCAGCATCGCAGGACAGAGACTCACAAAGGCGCACTGATATAAAAACACAGAGCGCTGGAATAACACCGGCCTTTTGAGCGACGTTGTTGCCATGTGTGCGTGCGCGCTTGTATTCATGATTTGTTTCCTACCGTGGACCTGCAGCATGGCCGACGCCTCCGTCTTGCCCACGCTGTTTTCAGAAGTGCAGGTGTAGGTCCCCTCGTCCTGCTCCTTCACGCGGATCAAACGGAGGCTGTTGCCGTTGCGGATTTCAAACCTGGGGAATGAGAAAAGTGGAGATAATGAAAGATCTAACAGAGAAGCATAGCAGAAAATAAATGGCCACACTAATCTACACAAAGTCAGGAAAATCTGCCAGTGTTTCAAGATAATATCATTTCTCTCCGCGTCCATCAGCCTGTTGCAAGGATTTTTTTTTTTCAATCAGGTGACATTATCTTGAAACGAGTGGAACACTGCGTCCTCGCTGCCTGATATTGCCACTGTTACTCAAAACAGTTGAAATTAGAAAAGAAAGTGTGATTACTTTAGTCTATTGGGGGATTTCTCCCTGGATTTAGGAAAGACTACTGTTAAAAAATTCATATTGGACTGACCAAGTACAACAACAGAACATAGTATATGGTACAAATTATTTTTTCTTTCAAAAACTACAGAAGAAAACAAGACAAAAGAAATAAAAGATAACAAGACAAGAAAATTGCAAAAAAATGTCACAATTGACAGTTGGCTGCTAATAAAGTGGACCAAGTAACTACATTTCTACATTGTGTTTTCTGATATGTAAGTACACAAGCACTTTTGACACTTGGTAAACTTTATAAAAATATTAAAATCAGTTTACGTCAGCTATCAGCAAACTCAATTTAAAACTTTTCAGCATCTTCATTAAATAATTATTAAGTCAATAAATGTGCATATACAAATTGTATGAGAACTTCTATTTACTATCAACTTCTGTCCACTGCTTCAAATGTAAACCGCATTTCTGATATAAATTCTTCTCTGTAATGTTTAGTGATGTGTTCTGTGTGAGTTTACAGTGTAAAGTTTTATAGTTGTATAATGTTGGAGAACAAAAATGTGATTATTTAATAGGCTGAGCTAAATATACATTATATTGCATTTAGATGAAAATTAGGATGAAGGTGGTCACAGGAGGATTGTGCCGACTAATGAATCCTCTTTAGTCTCTTCCATTTATGAATCTATATTAGCAGAACATGAATTAATGAACATATGTTTTCTGGGTCACATGTTTGAATATCCAACCCACAACTCGTCTCTGGTAAAACAGTATTTTATTATGCAGCCTCATGAGATGATGTTTGTGCATCATCAGTCCTACTCTCTGTTTGTCTTGTCCAACACTCTCACCTCCCGCGGGGCAGCTCTCCTTCCTCTCTGCGCCATCGCACGGTGGGAGGGGGATCTCCGTGGACCTCGCACAGAAAGTCCACCGTCTCTTCCTCCATCACCACCTGGTTCACCGGCCTCCGTACCAACACGGGCCGCTCTGCAGCAGGAGAGAAAGTTTGTCCAGGTGATGCTCATTTAAAGACACTCCACAAAACATTTACTTCACGACCAGCAGGTACTCACCGTACACCACCAGCTCGGCAGGATCGCTGTCCCTCTCTCCGACCATATTCGTGCCCACACAAACGTACATGCCGGCATCGCTCTTCCTGGTGTGAGATATCATCAGTTTGCCGCCGCGCATCTGAAAAACAGCAAAGTGACAGCACGAGAGATTAGACTTCAGATGAAGATGCCAGATACAACTCAATGTTATCATCCTGTTCCCTTTCAGGAGAAAAATATCCACATTTGGATCCCCTAGCACTGTTATGAATCATTAATCCTTCATCTTCAAAGCACCATATGAGTCATTGTGGTTTGCTTTTGTAGAGTGCTGGAACGCAACTACTTAACATACATTTAAAGTAAAATCAGTGTACTTGTAATTTACTTGAAAATTATAATTTTCTGCTCATTCTAAAATGATAAAACCTACATTTCAAAAGATGCCTGTGAAAAAACCATTAGAGTCTCGATTTTACACATGAGAGGAGAGAACAATTTTCCATTCCATAGAAAAACATACCGGAGTCCACATTTAATTACGTGCTGTTGAAAGATAGGTAAATCTGAATCTCTGCCTTTTTCAGCAGAGAAGCTGTTATTTTATAAAGACATCCTGGAGGGATATTCTCTTTATTGATGACTTAGATTACTAACTGTTGTCCATTTTTTTTTAAATCAATTAATTTTAGTTAGTGTTTAGCCATGTAGGCCCACATAATGAAATACAGAACAATAAAGTATGGACACAAAATTAGAGGCCAACCTCTCACACTCCTGATTCCCCAATTAAAAGATAAGAAAAGAAGAAAAACAACGCGTGCTTTAGTCTGTCTCACAGAGCTTTTCTGTCGTGTCTGAAGAGCTCACTGACAGAAATATAAAATCAATAAAAAACAAAATTGGCAACTGATATTTTATTTTTTAACAGGCTAAATAATTTTCAAAAACAGCTGTGCACCAGAGAAACAGGCAACTTAAATGAGACTATTTCCAGCTGTGGATTCCTGCTATAGTATAGTATATTAGTGGTATAGAGTATTTACAGCAGTAGGACCGTAGCCTAGATATGTGGGATCAGCTCAAAATAAACCACTGTGGTTGGTTAAAAAAGGAACATGTCACCCATTTTAACAGTGCAGCTCACTAATGTATTTTTAATGGAGGTCTGCGGCACAGAAAAATAAGCTAAGTCAGGCTTTGGCTACACACAGACAATATCTACTCAGGATTTCAGTTCATTGTAGGCTTTCGTCTTTTCAATGTATTTCTTAAGAATAACAAATATAACCAGACCTGCTGCATTAATTCTACTTTTACAGTTATAAAAAATAATTTTCCATCCCTAAATGATTCTTACACTGACTAAAAGCTGCAATAGCTACAAAAATGATTTACAGATTGACCCAAAATCTAACCTGTTCAAATATACTGTGGGTCATCATAGGATTATACTAAATGAAACGACATGAGGTTGTAAATCTGAGGCAACTTGAGGGTCCAGCATCATTACCTTGGCCAAGGAGGTTATGTTTTCACCCCTGTCTGTGCATGTGTAGGGTTTCTGGACAGATTACCATCAAACTTTGTGGAGGGTTGAAGTGTGGATCAGGGAAGCACCCATAACATTTTGGTAGGGATCCAGATCAGTGGGCAGATGAAGGAATAATTTTCTCTTGCTTTAACATCTGAGAGGCATTTTTCAACATTTTAGTTGATTTCATTGGTGCAGATCCAAATAAAAATCTGGATGGAGTGAATTTAAATGTGGTTTCATAGGGGGGCTGTTGGGCCTTGGCGGGAATATGCATTCTACTGAGAGCCCTTTCGGTTTAATAGCTTTGTATTTGCTTAGTATTTTGAAATGGAACCCGGAGAGTCCTTGACCAGTGTTTTTGTTTAACTCACAGCGATGCGATCATCCTTGGCGCTGACTCGGGCGTTGTTGCGTTTCCAGGACACGGTGGGTTCGGGATGACCACGTGGAGGCACACACTCTAACACCGCAGGCTCGCCAGCAGCCACCACCACATCACTCGGCGCCTGCCGGAAATCATCTCTCAGGACTAGGATGAAAACACAAAGAAATCTAATTAGCTTCAGAAGCCCCGTCTGTCTGATGTCTTTAAAACAAAGAGTGGAAATCAGACACACAGGACCTACGAGCAGCAGCAGCAGCAGCAGCAGCACAGACGTGCAACCACTATAATCAAAAGAAACAACGATTTGTCATGAAAACATTCAGATGTGTTTTCTTGAGTGAAGCATCTTCTGGCTGAAAGTTGAAAACAAGCTTATTGAGGGAACGTCGATTGTTGTGTTTGCATGTGCATGAGTGCTCAAATCCCTGGCAACGTCCTTGTTAGACTGTGCTCTTGATTCAATGTTTTCCTGGGCCTGTGTCCTACTCTGCTGTCTCTCCAATCAGAGCAGATGAATAATACACATCTCTCAGTCCAACATGGAGTGAACAAATAACAGTGCATTCATAATTTAGCTCATATGGGAGGGAGAAAAAATGGCCCCCGTGTTAATAAAAGGATTGTTTCTCGGTTTCCAAAGGAAAAAGGAAATCAGCACAGCTCTGACTTACAATAAGAAATCAACATAGAACGACCAAAGCCTGTCTTCACATCAACCCTGGGGTTTGCTCTCCCATCAGCCCCTTGGATGACGACAGGATGAAGAGTTTGACACGGCGGCCTTTGATATCTTCTAATCTTTTTTGCTGTGATTGACAAAGTCTCAGAGTGAACTGTGAACCGGAGGCTTCTCGGGAGACCTTGTGTACAATGGAAACTCATCGTCAGATGCTGACAGCCTCACACTCTCACACACACACAGGCCACTTCACTTGTCATGTTGGACCACATCCTGTAGCTACAGCCTGCAGGCTCTCTATTTCTCAACCAAAGTGAAACATGGCAGCATAATCAATCAATGCAATCTACTTTTACACTTTCATGAATATTTTATCAATCTTTAACAGAAACAAAGATGAGATGTCTGTTAAACTAAAATCCATCGCAAACATCCATCCCTCTCAATCATCAATTAAACGATTACTAAAACACAAATCTGTGGCAGGTCTGTCACGTCCAAAGAGTAGTGTTGCCTATTTCCAAAAAAAAAAATTCATGGAAATACTCACATGTGCATTTATCTGAAAAAACTCCCATACAAGGTGCAGACATTAGCATTCACAGCTTACTAGCGCAAGCTGCTTTCAGACAAGTCTGAACAAGTCATGAAATTTACTCTCATTACATAATTAAATGTACTCACTCAACACTGAATGATCCGATGGTAGCCAATCGTAGCACATGACTGTGGCTTCAACTGCAGAACATAATATTGTTTCCTGGTAAATCTACCTTGGATGGTTACAACATTATGGCTGATCAAAATCTCTATCCAGAAAATCAATTGGATTTTTACTTTTGCCGTTGAGCTCCATATGCACTTAGCTCTAATTAATCTGAGTACATAACTGTCACATTAATTATCCACCCATTCGTTTGACAGGCAGACTGTGTCAACATGGCAGCCCTGGTCTTCAGTACAACATCAATATTCACAGCCACTGGGCTTGAATGAAATGTCTTTTGAAGTGACTTTATCGCAGCTATTCAAAGACAGGGAATCATTCCTCTCTCTAATTTGACTGCCATAATTGTCTTGGGTAAACGGGCAATGAATATTCTAAAACTTAGTGAGGTGGCAGACAGTTTTCCCTCAGGTCTGAATTGGACATTAGTCAACCTGTACATTCGCCCTCTTCTTTAACTCGCTCCGTGGTATGACTTCCTCAATCACACGCTACCTGCCGTCTTAACTCTGAACTTTATTGAAATTAAGTGAAAGTCACTTTTTACCACGTGGGAGAAAACTGTCTTTTCCTTTCGTTTAACGCTGTGACATTTACACTGAGGAGACGTGAGAGATCTCTGCAGAATGAAGACTCATTCAGAACTTCTAACCTCTTTGACATTATTAAATTTCTCATTACCCCACAGTAATATGTCAGTTATCTACATTCAAACACTGGAATACATCTCGGAGCAGGTGATTAAGTCCGATTGCAGGGGCAGGGCAGAGGTTTGGACGAAGCTCGGACATCTCTCACAGGAAAGTAAAACACCCTGAGTATCTTCACAAAATGACTGAGCGTGTGCAGGAGCTATAGCAAAAACATGGCAGAGCTAAAACCAGTAAAGGCACTCACACTGCTCCCAAAGGTCTGTCCACCAAATAACCCTGACCCTGTTCACTTGGCTGATGTTTCAAATGTTTCGCAGAGTTGAAGGGCTAATTGAAAGCACGGCATTATTTTTAGACCTCGGTCTGTAAGGCCAGGTTGAGCGGCCACGCAGAGACCTTTGTTTTACTGTCATGAAGTGAAGAAGTTAGGGGCAGAGAGCTAATCCCAGACACTGCAGATACAAACACACATAGACACATGCACACACACACACACACACACATAGACACACAGACACACACACACACGCACACAAACACACACACACACACACACAGACACACACACAAACCTTTAGCTCTTTATACCCATAGTCCCCCGGCACAGACGTGGAAAGTGGGACATATAAGGGTTGAAACACATCACTACCCTCAAATGCCAGCTCCAAAATTTTCTTTGAAGCTGAATTCAAGTTAATGTGATCTCTCCTTGCACCAACTTTAAAGCATTTGATGATGATCGTGCCACAGAATTAGGGACAACCACCAACATTCCCCACCCCCACCTGCTCCTGAGAGGCTAGTGTCTGTAACTTCGCTCCTCGGACATTACATGACTAGATCTTAATAATCCCCTAAACCAGGCCCTGTGCTCTCGCTTCCATCCATCCACAGTGGTCTCAGGCGGCGAGCACGGTGACCGCGGGGCAGCTGAGGTTGGACTGTGGCTCTGCAAGAGACAAATCCTCAGACTCCCCAAGGCACTTCTTCATGTGAGCTTAAATAGTGGCAAAGCAGGGCTAAATGATTTCAGCGGTTTCATCATTACTTCTCTGGGCACTATTCCGAGAGAGCACATTCATTTTCATAACTTTAATATTTCAGGGATATACAGATTAGGAGATTTAATCTCTTTGAGAATATTCATCACTTGAGTTTTAAGTGACATTTATCTCTATGATACAGAGTTTAGCAATGAGAAGCAGCAGAGAGGCCATCTGTTAATGTTTTTGTAAAAAATGAACAGAGGCAGGATGAAGATTAATCACCAAAAATGGTATGTACTGCATTCAGGCTTTGTATGGCACATGCAGGGCTGATTCTTGAATATTGCTGATGGAGCGCTTATTGTCAATTATTCATCTCCACCTATGGAGCTTATATTTTCTTCTGTTTGTTTGTCTGTGTAATTGACAACCAGATGTGTGACCACATCTGTTAGTTAGCAGGATTGCACCTATACAACTAACCGGATTGTTACAAGACTTGGTGGAAGGCTGCGTACAGGTCACAGAAGAACCAATTACATTTTGGTGCGGATCTGGATAAGGGAACAGTTACTGTCTTTAACATTGCGAGAGAAATGATGAAAAAAATCTGGAATGTTTAGACTGAAATTTGGTGTAGATCCAAAAATCTGGATCCAGTGAGTTTATATACAACCTAGTAGCCCATTGGCTATAAATGACAAATTAGCTTCTGGGGGCAACGGCCAGTAATTTGGCTTCTGGTGTAGACAGCAGAAATTAGGAGCAATGACTGCTTTTATTGTTCACGGTAAACTATTTACAGTGCGAGTAGTTTCTTTTATTACACAAGTTGAGCATCACTCCGCACAAAACACAAACAGCGATACTTTTTGTAGGTGTTTAAGGTCCAGAAAACATTTGGGCTTATCTCTATAAACAGTTATCTGCATATGGATGAAGGTAAATAAAAAAGCTGATCGTTGATAGTTCGGTCAATGGGACTGTTTACCTGCAGGAAATCAAAGCCTGCTCAAACCTGATTAGTCAAACTAGAAATCCCCAAAATCTTGACCCTCGCCTACAGATTCTGTTTATTCACATGTAGAATCCATTTAGGAAGATTCATTTGAATGTGTTTTCCTTGGCACAGTGTATACACTCAACTACTAAACAGTTTGCAGACCATTTACAAATCCAGAAAGTTTAGTGACACATGGTGGGCGAGTGACGGACGGGAAAAAGGAAACGTTTTAGTACTAAACATGTGTTGACAGTGATTGTGGGACAGACAGATCAGAGGTGAAAGGACGGCGTCAGTGCATGTTTTTTTAAGAGCCTGAGACGACCCTGTGCCTGACTCCCATTGTTCTTTTATTTCAGAGAGCACTAAACCCGTTAGAGGTGGTCTAATCCCATTGCCATGATACTGCCCTGTCATGGCTAATGGAGGCTTTGCCAACAGAGAAGCCAGCGTTAATCCATTGTCTGATTATGTTGATGGAGGATGAGAAGGGACAATGGGGAAAACGGTCTGTTTCAGAAGCTCTCGCCCATGAATCCCTCCATTTTACATAAATGTAATGATGTTTCAATTACACAAAGACATGCACAACACATTCTGGTTTATTAGTACGTCTGACAGGGCTCATATAAACCATAGCTCTGGTGAACTGCAGAGTGAAATTCAGGCTGACAACTTTAATGCATCCAGCAGCAGATATTCTAAGCTACACGAATAAACTGTACTTATAAGGGATGATATGTATATCTGCCGATTCTCTGTTGTATAGCGCAATCGCAGCCAAGAAACAAGCTGCAGCCAGAACTTTGATTCCTTCATAATCCCTCATCAGGAGTAAGAGGAACATCTGGCTCTAAAGCCTTTTAAGCAAGTTTTATTTTTTATTTGTCCTACTTTATTCTAATCCTGCCACCATGTGACTGTCTCCTCGCTGAGATGGGCAGACATTCACGATTTTGAAATAGACACTACCACTGTTTTCCCCCGTCTTTTGTTTCCTTTTCAAGCCAAAAAAAATCTGTGTTTGGAAGGAGCTAGGAATGAATTTCATTATATTTCCAGTGTCTCATTATTCTGGTTTTTCAATAGCCAGGCAGGTCAGCTGATCACTGGCAGCTTAAAATTGAAAAAAAAGGAGCGAAAAGACAGAATAATAACTGTTGCTGGCTGCCGAGCTCCTGACTATGGGTAACTGCAGAGGGGAGCAACTGCAGATACACAAAAAAATGCTTTTAAACATTCAACAATGTTTGGTTAGGTATTAACTAAAAACATTACTGTTACAGTTAATGTACTGTTTTTACAATTGAATCATTGCAATAATCAATCTTCTGGATACCCAACCCATGACACGTAGCCCGGGTTATCATTTTGTCTGCAATCTGGGAACCTTAAGGCTCAGGTTGGGTTTGAACCATAGGTTTGAACAGACCGTCTGTCGGGTTCAAGTCTGGTTCAGCAAATTTTCTCCCTAGCTCAGTCAGGTTGAGACAGAAAATTGTGCCCCAAGCCAGACAACACAAATGTCTGAGTCAGTTTCTCCAGACACGTTCTGGAACCTCTCCTGCCACCACCCCCCCCCCCAGTAAAATGTGTGAAAAATATTTAAGAGAACCCACGTGAGATTACAGGAGGAAAGTGAGTGGGCACGTTGATGATGTTTCCAACACGGGAAGGATGCAAAACTGAAAAAAAAAAAAGAATACAAACATTTCAGGAGGACAAAGAGATGCCAAAGACATCGATGACGCCGACAAAGACGTCAACTTAGGTGTTTGGCAGATAAGAGCCAAAGCTGGTGTCTGTATGCTGTAAACAATAACACTGTTCTTTCCGCAGCAGAACTCTCTGCATTGTCTGCCCGCACCTGAATGTTCTGGGCATTTTCCTATTGTTGCGAACACATCCGATAATCTCCTTCTGCATTCCTCGTATGTTAAAGCTAAACTCAAGCAAATATCTTGACACAATTGTCGCGTCAGACAATGGCTTTATATTATGCTGTGCATCTCTAATGTTAATGTGCAAATCACTAATGTTTCCAGAACATACACATATCCTTTTCTTGCATGTCAACTCAAATTCACATTACTCATCACCGAAGAAAACATTCATGACATTCACTCAGCCTGTTTCAGCTCTGATATGACTCTCGACTGTGCAGAGCAATGTGAGGCATGGAACCAACATAGGTTAGATGTGTATCTCTGTTCTCCGCAGCTGCAATTCCAGTTTAGCATAGATAGAGTGAGCGGTGCCAGCCTGTTCAGATCACTGAAGACAGAAGCTTTAGTCATGCAGCACAACACAATACATTATGCATCATTCACTGACAATTAATGTGTAATTAATGTGCTTAAAACCAGGTTAGTGTCTGCACCATAACACAGAGCTGCATTAACAATCCAACAGATGCATTGGTATTAATTACTCCACAGTGGGAGTTAAAAGCTCTTCCTCCCCCCACCTGTTGTCCCTCACACACACACATGCACACAGACCACCAGCTTAAAACTGGCCCCCTCATTAACACGGCACATCCCCCCCCACCTCCCTGCCAGAGCTAATTGGGTCACAATTTACCCCACAGTCAGCACAACCTCACACAGAGTGGGAGGGAGAGTCTGAGACCACCACCATACTGTTTCAGCATATGCCCTCACTAGCCAGAGGCAGTGAGATTAGAACAAAACAGCCACTTACTAATACTGTTAGTCACTCTGCGCCTGCAGGTGAATCATCCCTTTGCAGATATGACTTCACTGTAATCTGCCGAAAAAGCTAAATTTGATTATCAACAATGCAAAAGTGGCAATGTGACTTCAGATGCATCGTATCTTCTGCCAGCTCGGTGTATTTGCATGAGCTGCAGCTGCGTATGGTTCCCAGTAAGCGCTATATCTGAGGAGACCATCCCTATTTTTGAACACGAGCTGCAGATGAGGTCAGCCAGCCGTGAGCACTTACACTCACTGTCAGCGAGGAAGCCTCAGTATGGTGGCAGATAAGACCCAGCTCAAATTACTGTTTTGTGTTTTTTTTTTTAACGAGGACGGTTCGACCTTGGTAATCTGTTATGCTCCTTCCCCTAATCAACCCACAGACTAATCCATTTCCCCATGTCAAAGAGAGCTGCAGTTCAGCCCAGGGCCGAAACACACTGGCACAATTAAGAGAGGAGGAAGACAATGGCACGTGTCCTAGACCGAGAAGGAAAAATAATAGACACGGCTCCTTCCTTCAGTGCACGCGCCAAGATTTGAGGACGCTCACGTTCCCCTGCTGTATTCCTCCGCCACATGTCTGTTCAAAGAAAACGCAGCTTAGCTAAGCAGTGACTCTCAGTTGATGTGATGATTACCTGGCTGTCATAGTGGAGGTCTCAGTAACGCTATGTCTGTTTAGTTACTAGTAACTGATGATGTTAGATAAAGGAGTAAAAACAACAATATTTACCTTCACCAAGGTTATGTTTTCATTGCTGTGTGTCTATTGGCAGGATTACGAAAAATTGTTAAATGATTTCCTTGAAACTTGGTGATGAAGATGGATGATGGGTGATTCCTCCCACTATCCAAACATTAAGCTGAAGTATCCTGGAGATGAACAGTGCAATCTTGTGGGTTTGGAGTCTTGGCAGTAGCAGCCAGGGGATGGAGCCAATCACAGACTCTCTGGTGTCAATCATGACATTTGGCCCCATCAAATAACTAGCAATAAGAAAAACCTAAAATGGCAGAACTGGACTGGATAAATTGGCAGATCCAGGAATTTTTTAGCCCATAACATTGTCAGAAATAATTCATGGGTCTTGAAACTGTGACTTGAATGGGACTGTTGGGCCTTGACACATGTATGTGGTCTATTATGTGGCCATCTAGTTTTCTGTATCACCATTCAAGCAAATATTTATGAGAGAAAAAGCCAAAATTTCACAAAGATGATTTGCTGTTGTTATTTACCACAAGTGAATTTTTATTTTTTTTATTGTTCACCATTTTATAGAAAACAAAATTAAATAATTGACAGCTGCCGGCCTAATATAATTTACTAAGACTGTGTAATTGAATTATAGCATGCTCTTTGAATCACTATATCGTTCAAATGTACTTAAAGACATAAACGCATTTTTCATATATTTCTCCATTGTTTCAAATCACATTTTTGAAACAGCAACAACATTAAAGACAGTGATGAGGCTGAAGAAACGCAACCCTCCTACACCTTTTAAAGCACTTGAGTTAAATAGAAATCATCTCAAGCACCTGTCATTGAGTCTGACCAAAAGAAAGTAGTCTCTTTGTGTCACAGTCGATCAGTTGTGCTGCAAAGATTTCAAAGACATGTTAATTTTTCTTTTCAATTTGAAGTGTTTTGAAAAGTTGTAATAACGCACTCTGTTACCGTCGCACCTTGTCAAAGTCAGTTTTTTTTAAATCACTGCATAAGAAGTGGCGAAGGAATTTAGAGATGTAACAAACTTTATCTCTCCTGATCCTCATTCCTTTATGTCACTTAAGGCCAGAATATCATAACATCATAAACTGATCCAATAACAGTCTATTTCAATACAAGTCAATTTCCCAAATTAAAAAATCTATGTATTAAAGCTAGGGTTGATAATCCTGGCAAAGCTAGCAAGAGCAGACTACACTAAAAACATGCAACCACGACATCCCAACCCCTTCCATCTGCCCTTCCCTCAAAGCCACACCCCCAAAACAGAAACAATTTACAACTGAATTAACATTAATCTAATTATTTTTTATAAAAGCCAAAAGTCAGGCATGTTGTGGTGCTAAACACCGAATATTACTGGTCAGATAAATTTTAATGAGGACTATGACTAAAAAAATCTGTGAGAAACCCAACGTTGCATGTTTTCATTACCAATACTTATAATGGACACAATACGAGAATAGACACGTAGAATGACCCTTCATTTAACTAGAAGACTTAAGCAGTTTCATTTCTGAGAATCATTTTGCTTTGCAACCTCTAAAGACAGATTTAAAGCCATGTTACATTGATAGCCAAATTACATTAGTATTATTATTAGTATAACTATTTGGGGATCTTTTTGCCCTAATGTAAAATTAGGGAGAGAACAAAGATAAAACAGCAAAGCCACAGTAGTGCCCTATTTCACATGACTCTTACAGAAAGAATATGTTATTTTATCACATTGTTTTTACCTACAAGTGTTGTTTATGGTCACAGCGTTGACTCTTCTAAAGCTGCAAATAAAGAGCTAAAAGCAAGAAAACAACCAACTATGAAGAAAATATATTTCCTGCCACAAAAACCTAAAATTAGGAACAAACAGCACTTGATACTGAATTTATCTCCATCTCCTTTGGGGTTGCCTCCTGCAGCGCAGTTGTTTCATGTCATCATTTTCAAGCACAGCCAACTGTCCAGTGGACCTCCATTAAGCTGCCAGGCGACTGCAGCAAGATCTGTGACAAACTGTGCGGCATGTTTATACTGCACACACACACACACACAACATGGAGTGCAAAGGAACACACACACACTTTAAGGACAATAATAAATAAAACAGAGCCTTACTGGCAACTTCCAGAGAAGCATTACGACTGATGGCATCTCCCAGGTGGTTGCGGGCCACACAGGTGTAGACGCCCTCATCTGGTTTGCTCCGTCGTCCGTGTACGATGCGCAGGAAGAAGAGGGAGCCACTGGGCAGAAGCATGCGGTGGGATCGCGGGTCGTCTTTGTCAGTCTCCACACGCTCGCCATCTTTGTACCACTCGATGCTGGGAGTGGGTCGGCCCTCTGCCTTGCAGTTGAGGGTGGCGGGCTCCCCCTTGGAGACAATCAAATCCGAGGGGTCCTCCACTATGCGAGGTGCGCTGTCCTCAAACCGTGCCCGGGACCCTGTAACGTGGAAATGAGGACAGATGTCACCTACAAGGCTGAGCACCCACCATTATAGAAAACATGGAATCTCTTTTTTGCAGAAAGCAATGACACCGTTTAAAGGGCATGAATATCTTTCTGTGGAGATGACGGAGAAAGACATGGACTGTCCTTTGGATGATCGCGGTGAATCGTTACAATATCAATACATTACCCTGTATTTCGTGGTAGTGCTATATAAATAAAGTTATTATTATTATTAAGGTTACTGTGAATTTAGGGACTACATATTCCAATAATTCTTCAAACAGCAGTGGTTTCCTTTTCTTTCTATTGAAGTGTGCCTACAGTTTTTTCAAATAGACGCCACATGTACCGAGGATGAATTCACCCATGTGATATGATAATGGCCAATCTCTGTGTCAATCAGGAGTGTTGCAGAGGCTGAGATGATAAAGTCGGAGGAAAAGTGGGAATAAACCAGGCAGACCTGTGCATATAAAGGGGAGAGAGACCTAGGATGTGAGAATAAGGCAGCAAGACATAGATAACTCCCATATCCCTCTCTCTGGGGATCCATTTTCTCTTGGCTGTGAGGGAAAGGCACACTGCTTCAAGAACCAAGGTAAGCTTTTAGAGCAAGACCAAATGTCTCTAACAATGTGTTACAGTTGGAAAAATGAATAATTCAAAATGCTGCTGCTTTTAGTTTGGTTCGGAAGAACAGATGGTCTCTCCCTCACAGTAAAAAAAGAAAGAAAGAAAGAAAGACAGGGAAATGAAATGGTCACTGTGCCACTGATTGCTATGCGGCTCTGTCTGAGGCATTATTTTCAGTACATAATCTTGACTGCTTGAACGTCCTCCATTATGAGTGGAGAGGAGCAGTCAGGAGTAACCCAATGACACACATGTGGTTGCACACGCTTGCTGTTACATTATACTTAAATCTGAGGCATCAGGGTAAGCCCTCACTTTTACCCCGTAAGCAGATTTATGTCTTTTCATGAACTGATTTGATCCCCCCAGGCCCGGAGTTGCCATCACGACTCAGACCTGAGGTAAACATCCAAAGAGCGATGCGAGCGCTCTCAGCTAACACCCCGGGGTCACGAACCAGGACAGCTCACTAAACGCTAATGCAGGATCTGGATGAATACTAATCGGGCGGTCAAAATTTATCGTAGCACTTCCAGTTGATGTAAAAATATACTTTGTTTACAGGAAGAAGAACAAGTATAGGGTAAAACATTTCATGCTATGTGCCCATAAGCTGATCCTCTCAGATATTATAATGTGCTTTCCTTTTTCCTTTGGATTATATCTCATCAGAGCTGTATGGCATCTGTGGAGAGCACATATTGACTCATCTGAATCGTTTTAATTTTGAAGAAGTATCTCTGCAGACGTCCATGTCCTGATGGTGAACTGTGGTTTTTAAGCACGCAAAGGATCCTCTGGCAGTTTAAAGTCCCAAGCCATGTAATACAGTTACATCACACACTGAGCTCCCTTCCGCTTCAGCCATAGCTAGAGTTTTATCCCAACAACAAATACAGAGAAAGAGTCGAGCTCTTAAAAGCAGAACTGCAGTGGTTCAGTGATGGGAGAATTCAGAGACATACACGAAAAAACTAAATTGATTCTGCAGATGCCAAAATATCCTGACTTCTAGGTGATGAGGCCCAAGAAACAATGAATGATTAAAAACGAATTACCCAAATGTTAAAATTCAAGTGACATCGCCCTCAAATGGCAGTAGTGATTATGATGAGAGGAAAAGAGGAAGCCAGGTGACATTATGACAGGTCAACACAAGGATCATATAACAAAGAAAAATAACTGTTCTTTGAATCACTCTACAGTAAAGCTTTATTTTACTCTCACTCAGTTTTTGTTATCAACCATCTTGTAGGAAAAATATCAGGATGAAATCATTGGAAAATGACTGAAATGAAAACATAATTCTGATGGTTGGCGGATGATACATGTCAAAGAAATGATATACTTTGGAGAATTGATCAAGATATACTTTGTTATGCAGCTCTGATCAAATTGTCAATATGCAAAAATAAAATGAATGGACTAAAGCTATCTATAATTGTGTGTGATTAAAAGTGAATGATTTTTGTTTTTATATTTCACTTACGTTGATAACTTAATTTGACTTACTAATGAGGTATGCAACCATTTGTAGATCTGTGGTAAGATTTCTTTCTTCACGAATTATTGTAAAATCAATGATACACTCAAATAGTTGCATTTTAACTACCTGTGTTGTTGAAAACAGTTATTTGTCTCTTACAGTCATTGATTCTACTGATTAGCTCCTTTTTATAGTCTCCAAAGTCCTTTTGATACCAACAAATCAGTGGTTACCTCTCACCCAGTAAAACCATCAACAGTTAAAACCATTAACAGCCCAATGAATGATTAACAAGGAGTCAGTCCACATATTATATAAATTTGAGTGTGTTTTATAACATTTTCTTTCCAGCTGTCCTTGTCCAGCTGTCCTTGTGTGTGTCATCATGTATTGTGTTGTCACGATTGCTTTGAGTTGGTTTGAATAGCATAATCATCACCATACAACAAACAAACACTTGTGGATTGATTCAACCCCTTGGGAAATACTAAGAGTGAAAATATATCTAATGATTCCAATGCAGGCACAGCGAAGGATTAAAAGTGTAACAGAAGCATTTTTTTTTTTATCCCTGGGGATTATTAATGAGATTGATTGGGCGCTCATTACAGCCACAGCTATCATGCAGCAGAATCAATGCGGTGCCGGGCTGATGCATTGCAGGGAAAATATTCTTGGGAGAAAAAAGAAGGAATAGCAAACAGCTTCAGGTGGTCGAAGTGACAAGCAACAATCTGCTCCTGTGACAAGTGTGCAATCAGTAAAGAAAAAAAAGCTCCTACATCACCTTGAGCAGGACAGTGACACGTTATCTTTGTAAGAAGGAATATTTTCACAGTAATGTTTGCTTCATGACAGGAAGATTGTTGTGCAATGGCTGAAAGCACCTTTCAGCAAAAAACGAAACTCTCAACGTTAGCGAAGTGGAAAAGTAAACATCATAGGCCTCAGTGAAGGTAAGTTTTTTTAGTCGGATCATAAATGCAACCTATTAGAGTCCATGGTGGCTCCTCAGAGATATCAGAGTGCATTTGGACATGTTGAGTGTGAAAAGTATTAATCTGGGGCATTCTGGTGTGAAATGAGTTTCACATTTACAAGGCTTGAACAAGTAGACCAGGACTCCTCATGTAGGAGAGTTTACAGAAACATAAGTCGTGTTCTTTTCATCCTGAGATATTTGTTTCCTTCCAGTTTCATGTCTTGCATGTCAAAACATCGACACGCCCCCTCTCTCACTGTAATCTCTGGATTTTTTCGAGACATTTTTTTCAGGGGCTGGCAAGAAAGGTTCTGGAGGATTTAAGGAGCAACTGACATATGCATTTTCACACACAGCCCCTGTGGAAAATGTCTGGAGTTCAGTGCATGTCTGAAAGCAGTCATTGAAAGAGATGCTTCACTAACTACTGACGGATAATTTACTAATTCACAGCTTTCATAGACGTGTTAAAACAGGAAGAAACTGTTCAGTTCAACGCATGTATTTATTTACCTCGTTATATTGAATGTTACAGCACAAAACCAATCCCTGTTAAACCCCCATCGTCTTAGCGCTGAGGACGTTTCAGAGAAGACGAATCAATCAAACCATTTAAAACATGTCTGAACTTCTACCAACCACACAGACCTTCAGCATGATTCAATCTAGAGACGACTTTGTGAATGGTTATGCTCACTTCATGCAAGGTTATCGCTCTGTAGTTTCCTCTCAAGGCTCATCTGAGTGAAAGGGTGGGAGGCAGCTGTGCTTTTCAGAAAAGTATAGTAGATTTGGTTTAAAAGCTTGACTCATTTGATACATGTTGACCCTTCGAATAGAGGCAGATATTTTATTATTTTCCCTCTATAAGTCAGAAGTGTTCAATTGTTTATTTAATTGCTTTCACTCTCTCATCCCGTCCCTTCCAATTTTGATGGAGCCTCAGCAGCCTGCCTCATTAGTCTTTGTGCAAATGCTATTATCATTTGTCTTCTTGTAGTTTTTTTAAGTGATCTTGAATTATTGTACATATTTGAATTGTTCTCTGTCTTTAGATACTCTTAGTGTCTTTTTCTACCTCTGTTCTGAATCGAACAAGCTCGGTATTATGCTTATTTTTACATTGTAAAAATTGACTTCACTTTAAATCTGCAATAACTAATCCTTTAAATATTCAGGGGCGGCATAAAATAGCTTTAAAAACAACACTAACATAATGTTTTTAAGTTGATAATATGAAGATCCACCAGTTAAGGAGCAAGTATGATCATCATTTATGTGTCCACCTGATGAATGTAAGTCCAGAATTCCTTTTCTTTTAGCTCTGTTTTTGGTCTCCACCATCTTCCAAGGGAAACACTGCATACGACTCTCAAGCTGCTAAATGCTCCACTATGTTCACCAGCTAGCCTCTTCATGCGTGTGTTAGCTGTGTCGTGCTGAACGCGTAGTGTACTGCCAGAGACGCTACAGCGGTGTCCCAGTTCAGGGATTGCATTTCGAAATCTCCTTCCATTTTTTCATATTGTTTGGTGCATCTCTGTTATAAAATATTGATTATAGCAGTAATTTGTATGCAAACGTAGAAGTGTAGCCTGTGCCTTTGTGACTGGCTGTCTATAAGAACTTCATCCCGAAACACCATCAATAAAGTCTGTGATCAGTGCGTGGGACTGACTCAAAGTTTCTTTTCCAGGGGTATTAATAGCATTTGAGCAGTGAACTCGTTATGATTTGATCGTGTGCATGGTTGATTTAGTGTGATATTTGTCATGGTTTCTTCTGATCTGGGAGAATTTCTCCATTTGCTCACAAAGCAAAAAAATAAAACATCCAGAGAAACTCAAGCGACCAAAGTCAAATGAAAGCCCATTAGTGCTGCACACGGCTCTGATAGACAAGTTATCGCATTGGTCCTAATTGCAAACCCTGACACACACCCACATGTTTGCTCGTGGCATCTCCGACATTTCTGCCTCATCAAGCACACAGAGAGGGCAGGGTAAGAGCTGAGGGGATGATCAGGATCACGTCTTGAAAAACCCTGTTGATTCAGGCTATAATGGGCATTTCTTGGCTTGTAGCTGTTGCCTTATGTAACAGTGGTCACGTTCATTAATTAGTATTTACAAATATTAGCCCTGCAATTTCCCCAGGGGCAGAAGTGTACCGCTGTCACGCTAATGTGTGAAAACAACAATGCCACAGAGGGACGTCTTGTTTTGCTTCAGATCTCTGTGCCTCTCAGACTCATGCAGGAACCTGGACCTGTCAGGGCTCACAGCTTGATGCCTCCTGTGAAACACAACCGCTATCTACCTGACAGGCGGAAAACTCAGACTAACTTTCACATGCTCTCACGTTACTTCGAGTCAGCAGCAGAAGGCTGGCAGCTCGTCTGCAGAGATTTGCTCCCGTCTTTTTCGATTTTTAATTCATTTACATACTTAAAAAGGCCAAAAACATTTGGGGAGTCCCTCTGACATTCCCAAGTAATCTCTGTGGGATGACGATAACGTGCCACAGCAAACAGAATTTCAGGAGACGTCAGGTTAGATTCTTCTTCTGGCAGCGGTCTGGGCGTTTAGAGCCTTTGTTTGGCAACTGTCCTCCTCAGCCGTCATCTAATCTCTTGAATGATGTCATCAGCGACTGTGCCAGAAGTGGGACATCATCAACATCCTGCGACATGACTCAAGCCCATGGAACATTTAGACGACTAACCAGGTTCATGCAGTGGCTTCATCATCCCTGGTTGTTTCATCATGAGAGGCTTACGTCAACCCTCAGCCATATTTGTCACTAAATAATAAGCAGGAGAACAGAATGGACACGAATTACTAGCTAAAGGTTTTTGAGCATCAATTAGTTCCACAGCTGAAAATGAATGCAGCTCAAGATACCTGAAATTTCAGTGAGACATTGAATATTAGCGTCTACACTGATGGCATATTAATTAAGAAACAGTGTGCGTGTGTGTGTGTGTGTGTGTGTGTGTGTGTGTGTGTGTGTGTGTGTGTGAAGGTGACTTGTTGTTTTCCTCTACAATCACACAGGGGTTTGAGAAAATAGAGACTTAAACTCCCACCACAGATTTCAGGAGCTTATTGGCAAGACACAACAACAGGAAAAAACACATCACACTATATCACTAACATTTCTTATTCATATAAATATTGTACATATAAACAACTGAATAAAATCTACAAGTGGGGCATCTGTCTTATCACAACTCCCACAGAGGTCATGAAGCCTATTGAATCCTCTTCTCTCAAGCATTTTTATGAAAATGCAAATCATCCTGTGGGAAATGTGCAGTATAATCAACATGGGAATGAGTGGAAATACTCACTCAAGATAAAGAGAAGTAGGCAGATGCCGTGGGTGTTGAAAAGTGTATTTAATGTGAAGAGGTGGCACCACTATATAAAAATGAAGCAGAACGAGTGGCGAGAGGTTTCACGGCTGCCACAAAGATCAGGATTTATAGTGAAATTGTAGTTTATCATTGAAGATGTAAAATAGAGCTCGACCAATAACTGCTGGACGTACGTGTCAGCTGCTATGAGTTTACTGCAGATATACTGGTGTCAGTGTGTGAGTTAATAGACTGACAGGAAATTGCAGTGCAGGAGAGTCAAACGTGAGATTTGAGCTTTATTTTTGAACTGCAAAAGATTCTGCTGAGTGCATCTGATCACAAGTCTTTAAAGCCGCTACATAATCAATATGTTTACACAGTACCGCTCATCTTTAACAGGCCTTTTAACATCTTTCAGCTCATTGTTTTGGTTTTCCTGCCCGCAGATTCAATGTGTTTTGTTGACTCTTATTGTCCCCTAAAAATACAAGGTATGCAACTTTCCAGCCAAAGTTGCAGCCAAATATTTAACCAAGGTTATGTTTTCATTGCTTGTCTGTCAGCAAAATGACTCAAAACTACTAATCAGCTTTCCATGAAATTCTGTGCTGGGGTGGCAGCATGACTCAAGGAGGAAGCCATTTTGAAACGAATCCAGATATACAGGCAGATCCAGAATTATTATTTTATTTTATGGAATGAGATAGGATGTTAGCCTTGGTGGAGGTATCCGTTCTACAAGTGCCCCTCGAGTGTTGATAATGTATTTGCTAGATATGTTTATATTTCGGCTATTATACTAAAAAATGTAGTCACATCAAATTGTGTATTTTACAAAATGGTTGCATTCCTTTCTTGTAGAACGTTTTAAAGAAATATTTTGTGACTTATGGTAACACGTTTACTTGCAAACAGTCCTCCTCTTTACTGCCTCTGGTGGCGTGTTGATACCACCAACTCTCAATCAGTGGTAAATTATAAATAGAACCACTAAGTAAATTACACTGCAACATAATCGTAAACATTTATACTACAAACAGAAACATGGACCCTTCAGGGTACCATAAAAACATATGGTGTATGTTCCTGTCTGTGTATTTGTGTAAATAATCTCATATCAGCTATTATATTGTTTTCAAATGTTCGTATCAATAAAATGTAAACGTATCAAACTCTGATGTAACTATGACTGTATTCTTATCTTGGATAGTGCACAGTACATTTCTTGGTTTGATTCAATTTCATATCCACTGATTTTTGTTCAATTTATTATTCCAGACTGAAAAACACCAGATATCATCGTGCATCAGAGGAATAATATATTGTCTGTTTTTCGTGTTAGAATTTGCATCAATAAAAAAGCACATCTGCACTCTCATGAATTGTTTTTTTCTGAGCCCTGCTTTTATGTGGGCTTTGGATTAAGGCTTGGAAATTTAAACTGTTATTAAGGCAATGGTTAAAATATATAATCCCTTTCTCAAAGGTAATCAAAAAATGAGCCTTTAAAAGCATTTTTCAATAACACACACATGTGAACCCCCATTTTAGGAGGAGCCTGTGGCTTTTCAGGACTATAACACTGTCACTGAGAATGTATGAGCTGAAAGTGAGAGTAAAATGTTTTCACTTTTTGCTCGAGTGGCTTCTCCTTTGACCTCTTCTACTGCCTAATGGCCTCCATGTGAGACCACCTCTGAGCTGAGGGGGAGGAGACCACAGAGAAAAGGTACATCTTCTGACATTCACCAGTGGTATATAAAAATTACAAATGTATGCATGTGTGGCATTTCCTTTTACACACACACACAAATATATATATTTCATGTGTTCAGTTGCCACAGCTGTCAAGAAAATGTGTTTGAAATTCAGCTAAACACACCGTTCACGTCCTCCTGGAGTAACAGAACACATGATAAGACAAGTCACATAGGTGAGACACAGTGAGACAGTCACGCCATTTGGGCAGTGTGTGTGTGTGTGTGTGTGTGTGTGTGT